TACATACTAATAGTCGAAAGAGTGCTCTGTAATTCTATAATACTTCACCATTCTTTAGTTACTGTGATAATATAAGAATTTCAATCAAAACTGTTCACTTCTGATTCTGTTCGATAAGGAAAACTTTCACTCCTACAAAATATATTGTACTGCAGTATATATTCAAGCGAGACTTGTTAATGATAAACTAAATATTATTTTCGACGGTCAGACCTCTTCACCTCTTAGAACAATTGAAAGATGATATGAATAGTTTCGTGAAAGTCAAAAAGATGTTGAAGACGAAGAACGATCTACAAGATCTGTAATTCAGACTATATCTTTCATCTGCCCTAGCGCATAACTGTCCAGCTCTTCAACGTTTTATTTAAAATAAAAATTCATATTCATATTCGAAATTATAAAGATTTTTTTTTATTTATGTTCAATTTAAGGTAATTGTCAATCAATAGGTAATGATCAATATTTAGATTGAGCTGATTGTTGTGCTCTAAGTGAACTTGAATTTATTTTTTTACGTTCATTTGTTCATTAACTAGTGCTATTTTGTCTTCTGTACGATGAATATTAATTACATCAGTATATTTACTGATTGAAAATCTTTTGATTTGTACTCGGATGTGAGTAAATTACGATGCTGAGGAGAATCACACACACACCCTATCTATTTATTTGATATTTTTAAAAAAAAAAGTAAAACGTTGTTAATATTATGAATATTTCATTGAAGAAAAGGATTATCTGAAGGAATACAATGACTACGAAAGTATAATAGACCAATTGGAATTAAAATAATTTGAGCGAGAATAAATAATATGAATGCCCACCAATAACGTTTGAATATAGTTAAATAATTAGTAAGAAGAAGAGAACTAAATCCAGCACTAATTAAATTTGTATTATCATCTAATAATAGAGGAAGACATTGATGAGATTGATCACAATATCCTCGATTTGAATCACATAATGAACCATCTAAATAATGATTATTATTATCATCAATAATTTATATCCTATTCTTACTTACATGGAAAATACAAAGGTTTAGAAGAATCTGAATTCGTATCAATTGTATGATAAGGTACACATGAACCATCTTTTTGTAGACAAGCAATCATACATAATTTATCCGCAGATACTTTTAATTGACATGGTAAAAGAGAATATAATGCACAAATAGATAATTCACATGAACCATTTATACAAAGTAAAGTACCATTACGACAAATAGTTTTATCTGGTTTAAAAAATGTTCTATCATCATCAGGACAAGTTGCTGAAGTACCTAAACATTTAATAGACATTTTACATTCACTTTCAGGATGACAATGATGACCAGCAGAATGAAATTGACATGAAGATTTGCAACATGAACCAGCAGACTGAAGAAAAAAAAAATCTATTTAATGTTTTTCATTTTTTGTCTTTCAAATTTAAACTTGCTGGTGAACAAGCAGCACCCGATTTGAGTTTACAATCTGACGTACAACAGTTGCTAGACGTACCATATTCATCACAAATTTCGTCTACTGAAAAAATACCATCACATTTGCTTTTAACTGTCTTTGTAGTTAACAAACATTTTGGCTTCCATTGACCAAGTATTTCTGTATATTTTCTAACGATTATATAGTTTAAATATCAAATAATAGGCTTATGAAAGAGAGATAATTGTGTTTTTTCTAAATTTTAATACATACGAAATCGTATCAAGTGAACAATGAGAATAAATTCGATTATTTGGCAACAGTCCTTCAGTACCGGTTGGATACATAAGATAGCTTCCACCTTGTGCATCTGATGGATTACATTCTTGTTGTCGATCTTTAAATTCATTTGCATCATCATGATCAGCATTCATTGAATGGCCAATTTCATGAAAAAATGTCATTTCACCTCTAATTATTATATATAATATTTTTTTAAAATCGAAAAAAGAAATTTTATAATAATAAAAGACATACTTATTCAAGCTATAACTAAAATATATGTATATATTAAATAGATTTTAATACACTAACAAATATGTATACACTTACTCGCTTCCATCAAAACTAGCTGTAACAACACCCACATTACCAGAATATCGAGGATTAAAACCTTTATTTTTTGGTGACCAACTACTCAATTCTTTTAATTCAGTACAAAGATGTCCTCTCCATGACCATCCTAAAAAGATGCTATGTAAATATTGATTGAATAAAAATAATTGTCAATTCATATTTACCTAATGTAGTTGCTTTACTATTTTGTGATTTAAGTTTTCTTGATGTAAATCCATAATAGAGACATGCTGGTTTGTTATTACTTGTTTTCCTATCATAATCACCAAATCGAGCAATTAGATCCAAAAGTGTATCACTATTTATATTTGGTGAACAAAATTCTCGTAGAGGATTCTCTATATCATTGTTTTTAGTGTGTTTTTGATCACATACGTTTCGTGTCACGACTAAAATATTAATTAAATATATTGCTAGTATTTTTATACGAACGTCATGCATAAATTACCTGTTATACCATGTACAAAGAATTGTATAGTAATATTTTTTGTTTTTGACGTATACGGAAAATGATAACGATTGTAGAGTTCATTGAGTCCTTCTACATTTCGATAGATATAAGTACTTAGTAAAGTATTTGTTCGAAAATAATCGTGATCTGCTCGTGTTGTGTATGTCTAAGTAATAATAAATTATAGTTGAAAATAACTGATTCTTAAAAAACAAAAAAAGAATTAATCTAAATTATTATACCAATGTCCATAGTGGATAGTCAACGATAAAGTGAAGACTACAATAAAATGTAGCAGGGATTGTTGTTTCTATACCGAATAAGAGAGTAACTGTAAGAAAAAGGAAGATATGTAGATATACAAGAGACATTGATCATTTTTTTTTTTGAAATAATGAGTCAGATGGTAGGCGCGTCATAGATGAACCATCTAATTGATTTCTAAGACTGATGCTTTCAATGCATGTAATAGGTTCGTCGACATTGACTAGTAATAAGCATATGCACTACACTTTGATATAATAAAGTTTGCTAAATAGTATTATTGGAATCAGTTCGTATAACTAAGCACATTGTAATATATTATTTTCGTTAATAATCGTTTGTTCATTCAACTTTGATCTATTATTTAAAAATGATTATCTAACTGTATAATGTTTTCATCAGATTTTTTCTGCTGCGAAGAGCAGTAAAATTGTTTATTTGTCAAATTTATCAATATATTTGTTAAGTTTTTCGCTGTTACCAGTCGTAATTTTCATTCATTAGGTAGATGTATGTGACTCAAAAGAGTAATTTGAATCTTTATAATGTCTAATGCGAATGACAAATTATTTAATTTATTTTTCTCTATAATTATTAATGCAACAAACTAAATTAACGAGAATATCTCTCTTCGTAAATTCAAACGTCTTAATTGTACTATATAATCCCATTGGATAAGATAACTTCATATATATAAGAGTTCACAAGCATACAAGATCACTAGTAAAAAAGATTGAAATGAACGATTTTATCAAATGTCCATTTTTTTCACTAAATGAAATAGTAGCATGTGCTATATTAATGTATTCTGTTGTATGCATGTGTCTACCATCAAAGGCAAATAATAATTTTTGAATTCAAAACAAAAAAAGATTAACGCAAAAAGAACTTAAAATAATAATCTATCACTAGACGAAATAATGTATCATGCTGCAGGCCATTCATTTATGTTTATTTCATAGTTTTATCGATGACTTTTTCTAAGGTTTATATAAGATAAGATAATCAAGGTAACAAATAACCCTCTAAATGATTTATGAATTCTACTATATACGGTTCAATTTTACCGTAAATTTGTTCAATGTGAGTTACAATCGTATTTATATAACGTCGTATATAATGTGTTGACGGGTACAATGAGAAGACCGTATGTACACTGCAAACAATCACAAATATGATTTAACTTACCCGAAATGAACGTTTTTATGGTCTGAATGATTACTCGGTAGATTTAATGACTTGCATCATTCTAATTGTTTATTATGTTCACTTCCTAATATTTTGTATTAGTTTAAAAAATATTGAAAACAATAAACTTTTTGATAATTATTGTAGTACGAAAAGAGAAAGGAGTTGGTGCCGCATGTTGAAATAATATCTTATTTAGAGTACTATTAAACTAAAGTATTTATTTCATATAATAGTACAAACTTATTACAAACGAACAACGGATCAGAAGTATGCAAAACAGGTGGATTTCTTTATTAACTCGACACTAGCGTTAATAAACGTCTTTTCAAAGGTAACGTTTAATTTGTGGCCAATGAGATTCAGTAAAAACTATAGATTAAGATGATAAACACTAGAAAAAGTTAATTAGAGTTTCCCATTATAATAGGAAAATAATTTTAAGAGAAAAAAAAATAAAGAGAAAGAACTGTTTTCATTCCAAAACAATTCATAGATATGTCAGAACATGTGAATCTTAGTAGCACTAAATAGAGCTTTAAAATGACTATTAATTGTTTATCATCACGTCGTATCTATACATTATTGTAAGATACTTTAATAATACAATATAACTACAGTGCATATACATTTACTAGATAAGACGTGTTTTAAGATATTCTAAAATGTAAAACTGTCAACTTTCATAGACAGATGAGTAAAAAACCCATAAGTAATAATTTCCATGTACAAATACAATAATTTCTTTATAAGTCAAAGTGTCTTATATATATATATATATACATATGCATACACATATATTATCAAAAAAAAAAAACAAAACTTGTTTATAATATCATATACGCATAAAGCGTGAAAAGGGCATCGATTATAAAGAATAACAGCGGGGTTTCACGTTTTTTGTTTCTTTTTATTTTTGCATTATTTTTTTTTCCTTTTCATCTCATCTGTACGTCGTTTCTTTACTCACTAAACGATTATTCAAACGTTACTAAAGTGGTTGAGATATTATTTTGTTCAAAAAAAAAATAAGGATGAATGAAACAACAATAGACGATACAGTTCTTTCAAATAAAACATTAACTACAAATTCTAATCCGTCGTTACTACGTGCAGTATCGGTACCTGCTACATCAACATCAACTTTAGCTAAAACTCCATGGTATCAACAAAAATTCGAACTAGTAGGTTATGACATTCGTTTTTATTTAATATTTCTTTTTTAATTTTTCGATGTAGTATCGCGATGTAATTGAAGAAAAAGTACGTGATGCATATCCTGAGTTGCCACAAATGTACAAATTACAACCTGCAAATATTGAATGTTCAACTATGAAAGGATATGACCTTGACTTTTCCGTATGTAATTCATAAAAAAAAAGCTTTTTCTATACAGAAGGATTTATTTTATAACGAAAAAATTCTTAGAAAAATTATATTTATTGAACGATTGAAATGAAATAGAAGAGAATTATGTCAAGAAAAAAAAAAGACAAAAAATTTCCAATGAAAAATGAGAAAAATTATTTTCTGTCTAGATATTTGATAAAGTTTTAATAATTTACTTTTTACTTAAATTTTTTGTTTTCTTTTGTGATAGATCGAGTTACATGATGGACGAAGTGTAGTTGTATCCATTTCTTATGGTGGTAGCTCGGGACCTCCATATACAAAGGAAGAACGTCGTAAGCTGGTCACTATTCGTCAAAATACGGTGCCCAATTAGTAATACAAAATACTGATATAAAAATAATTAAACTGGAACTATATATAGATTTTTTTTTTGACCTTGAAATACTTCTCATATCAATAAACTAATAAAGACAAACAATATTCATTGTTTCGTCATATATTCAGTTAAACTTTCGAAAAAGAAACACTATTAATTTATTCATGTGATCAATGCTTTAACTATTCAATTTTATATCTAGATAATTGATTTTATTGCGTTGTTCTCTTCATTCTGTGAGTATCTTGATATTTAATGTAGTTCATGCACATTATAATGTTCTACTCTATTCATTGATATGTTATTTAAATTAAGATTAATTGTTGAGGAATCACTTTCCATAAATTAAGAGTAAAGTATCTTGATATTGTTAGTATGAAATCAATATATTTTCTCGGTAAATTATAGTTCATATTATGATAATGCTTTCTATTGTATTTTAAACCTAAGTTAGAACACTTAAGTGAGTGACCCATTGTGCTTGTAAATCATAAATGAAATCGTCAAGTGTTACTCAACAAATATCGATAACCGCCAAGAATAATAAGAACGCAAACAATCAAAATTCTTAACGATCATCATTATGTCAATTATTTACCATTGATTCTTAATATGAAGAATTGATGAATGCAAATGTTTTTATTTTGATTAGATCAAACCACTCGAATTCGATTTCAGAATAGACGTTTTAAAAAAAAACATTTCATACATATGATCGGGGACAAGACAAGTAGAAATGTCTGATGACTTATTTGAATTTGAAAAGGAATAAGATATTCTTCTTCTTCTTCTTCTTCGTCAAAAAAAAATTTTCTTAACAAATTGACATTTGATTTTCAAAGTGGTGCACATATTTGAACAGAAAAAAAAATAAATATGTAAATTCAAATGTCAATCACACTGAAAAATATCACCATAGAAATTGGCATTGAAATCATAGAACTTTTAAAGAATTACTAAAAATTAACAAATAATAGTTAGATAGTTATTCTCGGTAGTAATTAAATAACTTTAGACGAATGTAGAATAAAAGAAAATACATTTCTCATCGACATTATTTTAACAAGGACAATTGACCTTTTTTTAAATTTTATAAGTATACATAAATGTTTCCGTGCAAAGATTAAACGTTAATATAGTTTTCTTTTTCTTTGACAGGCAATTATAATTTTCTGTTTCTTTTTTCTTTCGGAATACTTTTCTTCAATGTGTCTTATCAAAGCGGTCATAAAGTAAATGATCAAGAACAATAATAATTTCTTTAACTTCGTCTATTTTCTCAATTGTTAAAAAGAAATTGAAACAAAAAAAAAAAAAAAAAGAAGAAAGTTTTCTTGTTCGAATAACGAAAAAAACACAAGTATGATGAATCTTTATTCTTTTACAGCCATTTTTTACATCGCGGATTTGAGTTTGAATTGACGTCAAGTGGTGTGCATAATGTACTTGTATGACTACTATTGTGACTGATACTCTTTCATCTTGTACTTGATCAAAAACTAAAATGTGCAGGTGCTTGTACATACATCCCTTGAGCATATTTTTTTGAACGACATATTATGTGAACGTTTTATCTTTAATTTATAGTTGTAGACAAAAGAAAATGAGAAGGAAGATAAATAACAGTTTCTGTCCTCTCTCTCTCTCTCGCAAATACACATGTTGCTCTCATTAAGCAGTCTTTTTCCTTTCTGCTTTTATTCTTTAACGTTTTTTTCTTTTTCCTATGAAGTCTTTCTTCTTTCAGATGTTTGACGATGTAAGAACGGTTTGTGAAGAAAAAAAAAGAGCGAAGTATTTTTTTCATATTGACTAAAATTTTCTTTCACTTTCAAAGAGACTTACATTCATACATTCATATTCATTATTTGTCCGCATCTGAAGTCATCATCATCATCATTGAAAGAACAACAAATTCAGATCACCGATGACAATTCATCTGACTATTAAAGTAACAACATCGCAGTTATAAGAAAAGGAGAACTAACAGCTGTTTTATTCATCGTTCGTCTTATAATGAAAGTAAACTTATTTCTCTTCGGTTTATTTTTAACATAATCAAATAAATCCCAACTTTTCATAGCTAATAGTTTTCTTGGTTTAAACTACGTACTGAAAATCAATATTAAAAAAATTTTCTTCATTTTTTCTTTTATATTATTTCTCGTTTGTAAACACATTATGTTACATTATTTGATTCTATATATAAATATAAATATACGTAAGCAAATACACACATATGTTCTAATAATAAATCATATTACTCAATCTATGTTTCATTTTCTATGAGTCATAGATAAATTAGAAATAGAACTAATTCAAATTGATATATTTGATAAGAACTGAAGAAATAAAACTAATAATTTCAATGTGTTTGACAAAGTAGCATTGAAATTATTGTCACATCTTTTCTTTTATTTCTTATTAGAATGATACAGTGGTAATTCAATATCATCCAACACCAGCTATTTCTCTAGTCAAATCATCCATGTCAAGAACACTTATTTATCGAACAAATAAAGAATTTGATAAATGTAGTGAACTTTTAAAGAATATTTTAAGTGTTCAAGGTAGGATTAATGATTTTCTTCTAAAATATTTTTTCTTGGTTAATAATAAAATGAAGAATCACGTCGAAATGCTAAATCCTCAGCTGTTGGTGAACTAAATCGAAAAAAACAACAACAATTATCAACAAATACAAGATCGAAAAAACCGAATAGGAAAGCAATTGTTACTAAATCGTCATTTGTCAAAACGAGTATGTTTATTTAGTTGAGTAACAATAAAATATTTGATCTTATTTTCAGACATTAATGGCAATAAAGAAACAAGTGAACATCGACCATCTTATTCACTAAATAAAAATTTACATTTAACAAATGGAGTAACAGTAGAGGTACGTTTTTTTATCAGAAATCTTTTCATTATTTTTTTGACAATATTGCACATTTATAAATATTTTAAGTTAAAATATAAAAGACTGATTCTTTTGTCTTCCTCTGCTCGAAGAATCATGTAAATGACATAATGGATGATAGATCTAAAGTGGTCCATTAAAAAAGAAAAGATTCATTTTGTTTTAAAAATGCATATTTTTTTATATCTTAAAATAAAATTGTTTAAGGAAATAAAAAGGATTCTATTGATTTAGGAACCATCATTCTTAAAGAATCGTGTAAGTTCAAGTGAATCTCATAAACATATTACACATTCTCCATCTCCAACACAAAACATTCATCAACGTTTGACATCTCCATTAAAAACTAATTCATTAACAAATAATAAATCTCAAAATTCATTACGTCGTCGTACACAAAATAAAGAAGAATTTTTACGAAGTTCATCTTGTAGTGATATACAATCATTAAAATCTAATTTTATGCATCAACAACAAAAACACTGTATTATTGATCAATTTATTACATATTTAACACGTATACGAACGATTTCAAAACAAATTCGAGTTCGAAATTCTAATCATGCTAATGGTAAAAATTTTTTTTATTTATTTCAAAAACAAAAAAACAAGAATTTTTTCATTTAATAAAATAATATTCAGATCCTGAATGTTATCATTTATGGAATGAACTTGAAAATTCAGTTTCATCTGCTCTATCATATGCTAATGATAATATACAATTTCAATTATCATTAATATCATTACGACGTGAAATAATCGAACTTCGAAAGTAAGATTTTAAAATAATGAAAATTTAAAAAAAAACACCACAAAATATTTTTCTTAAAAGACAATTACAAACAACAAATGTTCATTTGCATGAATATGATCTAACACGTCGTAATGATGAACAATGTTGGTTTCTTTTTTTTATATTGTTCATTCTTTTTTTGTTTTTTTTGTTATGTTCAATAGATGTTCATTTACAAAAGAAATTCGATACAAATCAAATTCAATGTACACAATTATTATTACATAATAAAGAATTAAAAACACAATGTCAATTATTACAAAATAAAATTGATCATTTAGAACAAGATAATATTCGTCTTATACAACGATTAACTCTAAAAGTAAAACAAATTCTGTTTTTCAAATAACAATTTAATTATTGCTTTGTTTTTCTTTTAAAGGATCTCCATTCAATAGTTCAATGTTCCCAATGGATTTCAACAAATAATGATCTTCTTCTTGATAAAGAAATCATTTTTTTAAAAGAAAAATTATATCATGTTTATGATGATCTTGCAACATTATTGAATCAAAATCATACACTTCAAATATCTATTAGAGAACAAGATCAACAATTATTATTATATAAGCAACAAATCAAGTATTCAATTCAAATAATAAAAATAATATTTATTTGTTTGTTTTGTTTTTTTATCTTCTAGTAATTTAAAACAATCAGCTCAAAAATTTTTACATAATCTTGATGATCAATCAATAAAAGAAAAAATTAAACAATTTTTAAATCATATTCTTATCGATCAACATTATAATGAAGTATCAAAAAAGTAAAATATTGTTTTTCTATCAAAATGAAATATGAAGAACAAAAAAAAACCTTTTTCATTTATATATGAGAGCTATTTCTCTGTTTTTTATTTCTCTTTGAGAATCATTCGGAATTTTTTTTGACTTGAACAACCTTGACAATACCAATTTTTATCAAAAGAGAAATTTAATAACATAGATTGTTAAACATTCATACTGATAAAAAGTTCCATACCCACCTTTCTGTCAGAAACCTATTTTCATCTCAGAACAATCGATCTGGCTGAGGATTTCATGAAATCTGTTTCCGACTCTTAACAGTTTACAGTAAAAATTTCGACAGAAAATATTGAATTACCATAACATTCAAAGGTCAAATATTAGGTTTCTCCATGACAAAGATTTTCTCCTCGAAATCTAATGATATAGATTTTACGTTGGTTTTAAAATGTAGACAAGACCTACTACTATAACTTCACAGAGCTCAATAATTCAAAATATTGTTTCTTTACTTTTATTGAAATTTTCTCTCAAAAAAAAAAACAGGATATCTCTGTAGAAAAATATTCAGTTTTTTTAAAAGTATGTCGAAATCGAAAATTTCCGCTCTGTTAAGTTGTAGAACGCAATTTTTTCTTTAATTTAAAACATTGCCGAGTTTTCTAGCATACAAAACGGCTGAGAAATCTTTAATACAAGAACAGAAAAAATAGAAAAATCTCTTCTGAGAAAAACGTCAAACAAAGTTTGACCTTGGAAGAATCCAAGCTTCTTTCTTAATAAAACGGTATAGAAAATAAACCGTAAAAAAGCATAATCAATTTAATAAATCGTATTACACAGTTTATTCACATATTTGCCTGATTTTTACTTAAAAATGATTTATTTTTATTTATTAAATTGTTGAATTTCGAATTGAAGGTCATATAATTCTTTTACATCAATTATTAATACAGAAAAAAATGTCTTTCGAAAATAAGTTTTGAATTGACACTTATAAATGATTCTTATACTTTCATATGTAAGCTGTGATTGAAATAAGAAGAAATACAATGATTTGAATAATATGTTCTTGAAAGCGACAATCCTTACAATAGAAATAGAATGATACATATTTAATGATAATTCAAAATAGTAAATTCTCTCATGGACGAGAAGAAGCGTCTTTTTGCAATCATTTATTCTTTCCTTTCTCGTGCATTATTTTAGATTCATTTATACTTCATGCCATAACTAATAGAATCAACTAATCATGTATGTATATATATATATATATATATATATATATATTGGATTTCATTTACGTGCTTTGTAGGTATTTTTTTTATTTATTTAAAAATGGCGCTATTTAATAATGCTGCAAGGAGAAAACTAATAATGCAGAGAAGAAAAATATTTCATTTTTACCTTGTTCAATTTTAGAGAGTCAGAACATGCTTCAATGTGTCTTTTTTTGAAAGTTAAATATATGTTCCCTCTAGCAAATAAAGTTCACAGGTGATCATTGACTGTTAATAATGACATACAATAATGTCGCACATGACGAGTAGTTAGTTAATATTGTATATATGAATATCTAGAGTAATCAAACTAGAAGAATCTTGACTCAGATTGATTTTCTGATTCAGAGCTGCAACTTCACCGATGATTACTAGCAGGTTGAGTGATTATTTATGACCTTTACTGACTACAGAGAACATATTTGACTTTCAAAAAATGACAAATATCGCAATCCTAGAATTAGGAACGGTAAAATGAGATATTTTTTCTTTTCTACATTCATAGTTTTCTCCTTAAAGCATCATTAAAATGTACCACATTCAAATAAATATAAAATAAACCAACATAACATGTAAATGAAATCCAATATATATGTAAAGGATGTCTCATAATACCTGAGAATATATGGTACATGACACATTTCATACTTTTTATTTTCCAAAGTTTCAGCTCTCTAACAAAAACGAGTGTTGAAATACGTAGACAAGATTAAAATAAATAAATTTTCTTACTTGATTTTTTGTAACATGTTTATTTGTTGATCAATGATATTATTTATTAAACATTTGATGGAAAGAAATTTTATAAGAGAATTTTTTACAAAAATATAAATAATAATAAAATTCAATGTATATGAACATACTCTTCATTACTTTCTATGAACAATTGTAATTAGTAAGATATTTCGTCTAATTTTAATGATGTATTATTAAACACTTTTTCCGTGAAATTCTTCATTCAGTAATTTAACATCGCTATCGATTGATTCTATACGTTCATAAAATAATTGTTCTATGAATCGTATGACCAGTACTCCATATTGTTTTGAGATGATTTGAATTCAATACAAACTATTTACAATCTTTTTTGTTTCGTAAACTGGTAGACATTTAAGGTAAAATTTATCATAAAAACTTAGATATAAATGCATTCCTATAGAATTAAAACAATCGTTAGCCGTTCTGTCGCAATTGATTACATAGAAAAAATATTACAAAAATCTAGTACGACAATTCATGGATGTTAATCTTGTTCATGAATTTTAGCTAGATATGGGCAAGATGGTACCCCGGATGGAACTAGGACCAACACTTTTTCTTTGAGAGCGATATCTTTTATGGTCGTTTGAGACTTGCGTCAAATGTCACACTAACATGATCCATGTGTTCTAAAAATTTATGCGAAAATTATTAAGTAATGATCACTTCAAAGTTTGTTGTTACAATTTGGATAGTAAAATTAATCTTTTTTTTCGTAAACTACACAGTTGCCGAATATATAAACATGCGGAATAGAGAAAGTGTTAGCGAATTAAAAATAGCGATGAATTTCAAAGAAAAGACATTAGAGATCATGTGAGTGGTGCAAGATGTCTCGAGCGTATTGATACTTCTAGAAAATGACATCACATTTTTTGCTAGTGCATGTATTCCTAACCGTGAAATCAGAACCAAAACTTTTTTTGACCGAGACCAGAATCAAAAACAATTGGTTCTGATCATCACTAATTTCAACACTGATGTTAGTGGAAGAGCTAAAACTTTGGAAAGTTAAAGATCTTGGTTAGATATATTTGTGAGAAAATAGTATGAAAAATGTCGTTGACAATTTATTCTCAGTTATTATGGAACACATTTTATATATGTAGTTGACTCTATTAGCTATGGAATGATCAACAAATGAATTTAAAATAATTCAAGAGAAAGAAAAGAAGAAATGATTGGAAAAAAGAACTTTTCCTTTTGTTCATGAGAGATTATAACGATTCTAATTATTAATTAATCATGTATATGTTCTTTTTGTTATTAGCTCTTTGCATCTAACTCCTACAAAATCTATTTCATCAGCTGTTAAACCATCTTCTATTTTGTTCGAAATACCTCACAAAATAGCAACTACATCACCATCTCAGCCTGTTACATTTCGATCACATATATCACCAATTGTTACAATAAATAAACATCGACCAAAACTTATTTTTGTAACTCCGACTGTTCTAAATGATTCGAATATTGTTTCTAAATTTCAATACAAACGAAATCCAACAATTGATGTAACACATTGTTCATCATCAACTATTGATGATGCTGATTCCATATTAATATCTTCAGTTTCTACATCATTATCTTATGAACAACGAAATCATACAACTTTGTATAATAGTTTACCAATATTGTCTATACCTACAACAATTGATATAACAAAAATGACGACAACAATAGGCAAACAACAAATTTATAATAATGAAAGTAGTCCTGAACTTGATCAAATATCTGATTTAACATCAAAAATATTTAGTTCAGGAGATGAAGAAGATTCTCTTATTGGTGATAATAATATATCGACATCTTCATCGTTAACTATAACTTCCGATGCTGAAAAACTCATGCATATATAAATATGATTTATTTATTTATTTATTTATTTATCTATTTATATAATATAAATTAAATAATAAATTCTGATAGAGAGTAATATAAACAAGAATTTCTTTTTTCACGATTCAATGCATTGTTTGAATTTTTTATTCACTAAAAAAGAATCTTCTTCGATCAAATATAACAAATGTTTAATACTTCCTTCTCATCAAAAATATTTATTGTTTCTTTTTACTTAACATATGTATTATATGTTGTATTTTGAAAAAAAATTATTGTTGTTTTCAATTGGAAATCGAATACAAAAGATCGAAATTTGACACTTTACAGTGCATGTACATTATTAGCTCAATAATTGATATAAATCTTGCAAAGACAAACTTGATTGCTCAAATAACAACATTATTCTGACATTCATGATAGAACATTGATTTTTTTTATTTAATCACTACAAGAGAACATATCTAGCTGTTGAACACCGTTCGAATTTATATTATAGCTACGAATAGGTCTTAGTGAGACTAAAAAAAGCTTGAAGAAGTTTTAGTCTACAGTCTACTGATGAAATTTTTACTGAGAACAAAATTTTACGAAAAATCCGAAACAAAGAGTTTCGAGCTGAAAATTTGTCTATAGATAAATTTGATAATCATTAGATAGTTCTGAAAGTTTCAACAAAAATAAACATGTCTTTATCGAGATATTCAATTTCCAAAAAAACGGTGACTTACCATAGGAAGACACAATAATCGAGTCTATTTGAAAATGGAGTACATTGAAGAAGACATGTTCGTTTTCGTCGAAACTTCCAGAACTATCTAATTACTGTGAGATCTGCCTATAGACAAAATCTCAGCTTGAAACTCTTTGTTTTGAATTTTTCAGATATACCATATTCTCAATAAATATATTCTATTGAAACAGTCATCAGTCTTCATCCTTAGGTCATGGACTCGAGTCCTTTTAAATTTTTCTTAGTCTCATCGGGATCTAGTCATCGCCATAATATGAAGTCGAACGCTGTTCGACAATTGGATATGTGCCCTTGTGGGTTAATCTCCACTAAACAAAAAATGATTCATTGATAAATTTTATGATATTCGATAGTACATAACTATTTTCAGATGTCCTTTTTCTATTAATTATTGTAAAAAATAACCGTTAATCAAATAATACATAGGAACAAATATGAATGTGTATCGAATCATATATACAACAATACCAATCTTATTAACTTCAAGATGATATACTAATTAATTTTTATGAAGATTTTTTGTTGATTAAGAGTGACATCTATAATCAATATATTAAATTGTGTAAATTGATCATTTTTTCTTTATTTTACTACTTAATACAATATCTGATTTCAACAGTAAAAGAAAATAAATTATAAATTGCGACTGTCAAAAAACAAAAATTCATTATAAATACTGTGTCTGAGCAACACGAATGAATGTTGACACTCATATATTTGATTCTTATTTTTTCATTACGTTAAATTTTTAACAGCAACAATATGCTTCAATTAGAAACTGAAGAAAGAACTGCTCTTCTTTTATCAGAAGCAGCTGATGATGATGATGATAATAATAATGATAATCATAACGTAATAAATATTCCATTAAATGGTAGAAATGACGATTTTCCTGTCGTTGCTAAGCGTCCCAAAACATATCAACGTCATCCTATATCTAATGCTCATCCTATGTTATGTTTTGGTTTAATATTAGGTGCTTTTATCTTAGGATGTCTTACTGGCATTATTATTTTGCTTTATCGAATGTCGTCAGATTCCCAACAAGGACATTCATCATTATCGTCAAATTTACTTGAAACCGCAACAAATATTGATTTATCAATACGAACAAAACTATTTCAATCAATAAAGCAAACAAAGTTTTTGACTCTTAGTCGGTAAATATTTCTTTAAAAAAAAGAAAAAGAAACTTTTCGTATTTTTTTCTTACCAAAATTTTTAATTTTTAGTTCAATTGAATCAGAAAATGATGCTGCTAATAAATTATATGAACAATGGAAATCATATTCTTCATCATTAACTCATGTAAATAAATTAACATATGATATAAATTTATCAAAATTTTCTTCATCAAATATATGGAGTGGTATTCAATTAACTGATGATAGTAATAGAAATGAATTTTTAAAAGTTAATCTTTTATCAACAGAAAATTTTCTTTCATTTTCATCACTTGTTAAATCTGGTGAAATTGATGGAAATTCAATTTATTATGTTAATTATGGTCGACAAGAAGATTTTGCTTATTTATTTAAAAATCGTATTCGTTTTGAAGATCATGAAAAATCAATTGTATTTATGAGACGTAAATCAAAAATTATTTCTCAAACTGAACAAATTCATCAAGCAATTTATTATGGTTTTGGTGGTTTAGTTTTATTTGATGATAATGAAAATACACAAACCACAACAACAAATGATCGATATTCATTTTTTCGAGATTGGGCCAGATATTCATCTCCAGATGGTAAAAATAATAAAATAAAAGTTAAATAAAAAAAAAATTTTTTTAATTTTTTTATTTGTTAAGAACGTCAAAAATATATTAATGGTACTCTTAATAATGATAATCATTTAATTTCTGTTTTAATACTTTCATATAATGATGTTCAAAAAATATTTGAATTACTTCAAACAGATTCAAATGGATGGTTAACGTGTCCAACTGAATGGCATGATAAACCAACTTCATTAAGAATAGGTGGAAAAATTTCAATTATGAAAATTCGATTAGTTGTAAATGTAGAACCTACAAAAATAGAATTGCCTGTTGTTATGAGTTCAATTCGTGGTACAATTGATGCTGAACATTTTATCATGATTGGTTATCAATTAGGTTCAATAGAACTAAATAAAATTATCAATGAAATTATAGAAGCTTATATAAATCAAATAAAGAATGGTTGGAATCCAAGGTTTATTTTAATTTGAAAAACTGAATTTTTTTTCTTTTTTTATTTTATTTGTTATTTTATTTTGTAGAAGATCAATTCTATTCTGCGCTTGGTCTGGTTTAGATTATGATCATTATACAAGTAAGAATAACAATTATTAGTAAAATATACTTTCGTCTATGATTAACGCTGTTTCATAGAGCTTAAAATTTTTGTAACTACCAAATCGAACTCAGAGTCGTTTATGTAGGAAATGAAAATCTTTTAGAGTGATAACATTGAATTAAATCAATCTTTCAGTTTTAATATATGTTGTAGTTTTATCTTATTTCATATTGACTATTGTTTTATCAATGTATTAGAAAATATGATATAAAATCTATAAACATTTTTAGTTCGTCGTTGGCTTTCGGATAATTATCATTTTGTTGATAAAAATTTAATAGCATATATTGATCTTGGAAATGGTATTCTTGCAAATTCTACTTTAAATTTACATGGTTCACCATTACTTGAACAAATTGCTAATCGTGCTGCTGATTTTGTTCCAAGTCCACTTGAACATAATCATACATGTCATCATCGATTAGTAACAACAACAATATCAAATGAAGAAAGTCATCATCATCATCATGATCATAAACGAAAACGACGTAATGATGATGATGGACATGAACATCATATGGAAACAAAACAACAAGAAGAAATGAAATGTGAACCACATAAATTATTAGATGAATGGATTAAAGCAAGTAAAAATCAAACTGGAATAAATAAAACTTTAGATATTGTTCAAGCTATTGATATTGATTCATCGGCTGCTTTATTTCAATTACAATATGGAATTCCATCAATATTAATTGAAATGACTAATCAACAGGTATATATTTTTATATTTCTCCGATAAAAAAAAACAAAATCATTTAAATAAGATGTTCTTATATATACAATATATTGAGTTTTATTTAGTAAAAACAACTTTCATTCTAGGTAAGATCATGAGAATACCTGGTGGGCTTTTTTTTCTTACATCTTTTGAATATCATAATGTGAAGACATATGATTATTACATCTTGATTTTTACTTCTGCTTCTTTATTTTATTGATTTAGTTCACCTTTTATTTTCTTTTCGTGTATCTCAATTTTTTTCGTCATGGTTATTTTTTTTTTTGAGAAGAAAAAAAAATCTATAAAAATTGCATGACTATTGATCAGCAACAAAAAAGAATACATACATTTTATAACTTTCAAATTTTTCGAATGATAATGTTTCTTTTTTCTGGATTGTTCTAATTAATGTTAACATTCAGTTTTTCGTCTAATTTGATGTTGGAGAGAATGAAATTACCAACAAGTATCGTACCTTTCCGGCATATTCTCGAATGTTCTCGTACATTCTATTTTCCAGCATAGACAGTATAAAAGAACGCAAAAAAGAATACAGGGTAACCATCGTAATGAGTAAGTGTGAATACCATTCAATAAGATAGTAGTTCTCTTTTTAAAAGAAGGTAAAAGTATAATTCGTTTTTTCTATGATAATTCTTTAAAATTTTCACTGTTTAAATTTATGAATCAATGTAAAACATAACCTTCGTTTTTGATAATGTTAATTTCATTTAAGAACTTATCATTATTCATGAGTTTCTATTTTATAGGCATTAGCAAATGATATATTTTATGTTAGTCATTCATTATCTATTGTCGAACGAGAAATTCGACCAGAAGTTTATGTTGCTTATACACAATTTGTTACTGAAATAATTCGTCAATTAATTGATGAACCATTAATTTCATTTAATTTAACTTATTATGCCAATCAAATTGATGAACAAGTTATTCAATATGTTGCTCATTATACGAGAGAATATGGTTCAGTAGGTTCTCATATTGGTGATCCAAGTAAGATAAAGATATTTTTCTATTTCAATCTATAAATATGATAATAATTTCTTCTAGGTGACTTTATAACAACATTAAATGATTTAACAAAATCTATTCGAAAATTTCAATTAAATATTAATCAACTATCTAAAAATGAGTATGAATATATATATATATATTTAAAAAGAAAAGTCAAATTAATAAATTCTTTTCTTTTTTCTCATACTTTATTATAGTTATATTCATTTTCCATCAATAAATACTCAATTAATTGAATTTGAACGTTTATTTATTAGTAATGATCATCTACCTGGAATGAATACAATCGATAAAATATACAAGTAAATAAAAATTTAATTGATTTTAATAATAATAAATTCTTTTAGACATATATTAATTGGTCCAGCATTTGGTCTTACGAATACAGCTGTTCCATTTCCATTATTATCAAATCTTCTGTTTGGCATTGCAGAAGATCCGCCAACAGCATTATGTGATGCATCAAAATTATTTTGGTTAAAATTAAAAGAACATATTCATTTTATAAATCGAACATTAAATGGATTCGATGGACTTATTGAAAAAATCTAAATAATTTTTTATTCAAATTTTTCACTTTTTATTTTTTGAAAAAAAAAATAATATTCATTTTTATTTTGTCAGATGTTTGCATTTTTTCTTTTTTTTTGATGATAATTATTTTTATTTTATTCCGAAACAAAAATTTCAGAGAACAAATATAGAAATCAGTTCGTTCTCTGATTCATTTTAGAATGTGATTGATTCGCGCCCTTTGTTTTCCCCCTTAATCTTTCCTTTCCTATATATATATGTATAAGAAAGTATTGAGGATTTTATTCAGTTTTATATTAACATTTGTTTTTCGATTTTTTTTTCTAGAAAATTCTTGTATTTCCTAGCGCTTAATCATGGTTAAAGAAACAAAATATTATGATATTCTTGGTGTTCAACCAAATGCTACAGTAGATGAAATTAAAAAAGCTTATCGTAAATTAGCTTTAAAATTACATCCAGATAAAAATCCTGATAATGATCCAGAACAATTTAAACAATTATCTCAAGCATGTAAGTTTGTTTTTCTATTTTAAAATCTATTCAATAAGAAAAAAAAATGTTTTATTATTAGATGAAGTATTATCTGATGAAAAAAAACGTTCATTATATGATCAAGTTGGTGAACAAGGATTAAAAGAAGGTGCAGGTGCTGGTGGATTTCATGGTTCAGATCCATTCGATATATTTAATATGTTCTTTGGTGGTTCATTTAGTAATCGACAAGATAATCGAGGAAAAAATCTTGTTCATCAATTAGGTGTTTCATTAGAAGATCTTTATAATGGAGCTGTTAGAAAATTAGCTTTACAAAAAAACGTTATTTGTGATAAATGTGAAGGTAAAAACGAAATCAAAATTTTTTTTTTTTTTATATTTGAATTTTTCTTTTGTTTTGTTTTTAGGTCGTGGTGGAAAACAAGGTGCAGTATCAAAATGTACAACATGTAATGGATCTGGTTTTGTTACTCGAGTTAATCAACTAGCACCTGGAATGATTCAACAAATTCGTTCACATTGTTCAGATTGTGAAGGTCAAGGAGAAAAAATAAATGCAAAAGATAAATGTAAAACATGTGATGGAAAAAAAATTGTTCGAGAAAGAAAAATTATTGAAGTACATATTGATAAAGGTAATTAACTTATAAAAGAAAAATATATATATATATATTCTTATGAGCAAAAAATCTTTATTTAAGGTATGGAAGATGGAAAGAAAATAACATTTAATGGTGAAGGTGATCAAGAACCAGGACTTGAACCAGGTGATATTGTTATTGTTTTGGATGAAAAAGAACATTCAATATTTAAACGTGATAAAACTGATTTACATATAAAAATGCCAATAACATTAACTGAAACATTATGTGGATTTCAAAAAGTTATTAAAACACTCGATAATCGGCAACTTGTTATAACATCATTACCAGGTAAAAAAAAAACATTTTAATTTTATTTAAATTATAGAAAAAAAAACAAGTCGACTTCTTTTTGCTTTAGGTGAAATTATTAAACCTGGTGATATTAAATGTATATTAAATGAAGGAATGCCTGTTTATCGAAATCCATTAGAAAAAGGTCGACTTGTTCTTCATTTTGATGTTAAATTTCCAACTAAAAATGAAATACGTCCAGAAAATATTTCAAAATTAGAAACATTATTACCATCACGTTCACATGTTAGTATACCAATGGATGCAGAAGAATGTGTTTTAACTGAATATGATCCTCGACAATCACAACGTTCAAATAAAAATGATATCTATGATGATGATGATCCACGTGTTCACGGTGGACCAACACAAGTTAACTGTGCTACACATTAATTTAAACTTTGTTTGTTTTTTTTTCTATTTGTACTATACGAATTTCATTGTACAACTTTAAAAAAGTATGCACAATTGAAAAGATAATATATTGAATTCAGCCAACGAATAATAGACGAAATTATTTATAATATTTTTCATTGAAATATGTAAATACTTCTTTGAAATTGAGGGTCGATCACAAGTAGTATTACGATGAAAAAATTCAAAATATATCTGCTTTGATTCAATTAAATAGGTTGAATGCTTGGTTTGTGATAGATACGTATTCAAAGTTTTTATTTTCATATGAATAACGTAAACAAAAATTACTTCATTTGATATTTAAGATAATAACTAGAAGAAATCAAAACGAACTTTATGAAAGATATATTATTGATACGCATAAAACAAATTTTCAGAATTAATTAGTTTTAATAGTTAACGGCAGACATGAAACCGGTATTAGTACAGGTTTCAGATCAGTCGATATACCAGTGTGTCTTATTAATTTTTTTGCTCTTAGTATCTTATTGAGAATGTGTAATGAAATTTTGCTGCAAGTTGACTATGTCAAATATCCCTATCCACTGATAGAATAGTACAACAACTCAATCAGCTGGTCTGATCTAGTCATGCCGGTACTGATTGTCAAAAATCCAGACGGGTTTCATCTCTAGTCAATGGTTAAAGTATTTCAAATTCTGAAGCATCAAATGCTGTTCTTTTTTTGCAAGAAAATTAGTAATTCCGATGTCTAAAGAGCTTCAATTGTGCATTTGAATGATCGGGCGCAAATTTTGGCATCTAAGTTAACTATTAGTTCTAAAAATCTGCTTTATATGCATCAATAATAACTAAAGCATTCATAAAGTTCGTTTGATTTCTTCTTGTTATTGTCTTAGGAAATTATAAGAAATATTTCAATTTTTGATCGTAGTTCTATTTGTGGCTCACACTGCATTTGAAATGAATACTTTTCATGATTATACGAGTAACTGAAATAATGATTTGTGTGCTGATTCTTCGTTTAACATGTTTTTGTGGTTCATTGATCAATGAATATGCTCTGAGCATTTTAAAGCGTTTATATTTAATGTTAATCGATATGAAATTGATGCTGACATATTGTAGGGAGGTTCTTTTTGAAAAAGATAAGAGTAGCTCTTCTCTATTATTTAATCATTTATATAAGTTTCATTGATTAATATAAAGTTGAATAAAATGGTCTATATAACTTTTGATTGTAAATTTGTATAACTGTCAAATGTTTTCCGATAAACTAAAGTGAACTTTTATAATGATTTGTTAATCTTGATCATTTAAAAATTAATTTGAGATTTTCAATTATTGATACTATTCGACACAACTATGTAACGAATGGTGAACTATGTGTCATTAAATGTAAAGTCTCTATTCAATAGAATGCTTTGTATTAGTTCTCATAATCATTGGTAGTTTTGCTCTATGCCAAAAACTAAAAGCTTAAAAACGAAGTATCATTTTTTTAAAGACAAACGAGCGAAATTGTGAATTTTCTAAAATAAATATTTTTCTTTTCTTTGCTTCTATTTGCATGGGAGAATAGAATGCAATGAGTAAAATATCATTCTAAATAAAAGATTTTGAAAAAAGATCATCTGCTCAGTTTAAATGTAGTTGTTATTATTATAATTCAATCATTAACTGCAACACATGCTTGAAAATGTAATTGAAATTATTCAAGATTTACATTAACAATACAATATTTCGTAAGTGTATAACTACAATAAAATCAAGCAATATTTTCTGAAAAATCTTATCGTTATTGTTACTAAGGCATCTGTACAATCAAATAAAACATGTATTATATTCATACCAAAAACTAAACTTATGAATACATGTGAGATTAATTTTTATGATCGAGTTTTCGAGACATTTACCGTATTTTAGTGAAATATATTATGATACGAATAGAGTATTGTATTAAATACCAAAGTAATCTGGATGATGAGAAAAATTTATTAAATTCCATAATGATTTCAAAGTATTAATTAAATTGATTTGGTTAAAAGAAAAATAATAATTTAATCCGTGGCGCAGATTAAAAAGGGTAATGTTGTTTTCTGTTTGTTTTTTGGCATTCGGATATACTATCAGAAAATCATTTGATTTGAAAATTTTTTGTCCTACAAAACTGGTCAGTTTGTTTTTCAACTAAAGTTTATTATTGAAGAAAATTTTAAAGTATTAATACTCCTCAATCATTGAACTTCGATAGTCAAAAAACGAAAAAATGATTCAAATTTTTTTAAATTTCAGAAGAAATATTTTCGAGAATAATCATGAAATAAAAATTGTGAACAAAGTCTTGTCTGACAGAATTACCTGATTGTTCTTTTGTATTTCGATGCAATCTAATCGTTTGTACTCTTCAACTTAGCCGTCACGACATTTTGTTTAGAATTAAATTTCACACCCACACCCTCAAGTTGCACTTTGAAGAACATCCTCTTCTAACATGCGTAGAAGATTATCAGTAGTCTTTATTGTCATGAACGATCATACAAGAAACCTTGCCAAGGTCGTAGAGGTAAAGAGCACAAAGTTTTCTAATCATTGATGGTAACTGTATTACTTTTTAGATTAATCTTCATTATACAAATCGACAGATATTAGCAAAAAATCGAAAATCGCAATTAGACACTTAAGTAAGCGGTCATATTCTCAATATAGTTCCAATAAGAAAAATTTATTTGACAAACAAACGAAACAGTTTTGTAGAACGAAAAATTCTCAATTGAATGACTTTATGAAAATGCATGGGAATAACCCAACAAAAGAAAATGATAGTGTCCCAATCAAGCTGCGGTATTCGTTATATAATAGAATTTTCATCATGTAACTCATATAGATACATATTAAATATTGCTTTTTATGTTTTTCTTTCTCCATTAAACATTGAAATGAATTTGCATTATCTCATATATATGTAATGACGTGTGTGCAGAGGACAAAGATCGAAGATATTTTAGAAAGAAGATTTATATTTTATTAGTAGGAGTGTCGAGTAGACAAAACACAAAGTGAATATGAAAGAAGTCAGGAAACTCAAAATAAAATCTTTTTAAGAATTCTCATCAATTGAATAGAGTTTTTGTTTAGAATGTTTTGTTTAACTAGACAATGGATATATTGCGTAGGAGCACATTCATATGTTCTATTATGAGTTCAATCTTTGCAAAGAAAAGTATGTTTTTTAGTAGACATAGAAGTGAATGATTGTATGAGTGTACACATTCAGCAAAACTGGCAATGATTAAGGCGATTAATAGAGATGATTTGCTTTTGTTATTAATTATGCAAGTAGTATGTTGACTACAAATGCTATGAAAACATGCTGCATGCATCAATGTTGTATATCTATCCTTTTTTTTGTTTATATAATAGTAAGGTGCAGGTAATTCAAATTTCGAGTAAAAAATTTTTTTTTCTCGTTTTTTCTGCATCATTTAATAGAGCGAGAGCTGCTGATCATGAAAATCTACTTTTTAGCCTAAGCAAATGCTTTCTTCCGATGGAAAAATACGAAATATTCGAAAGATGCCGTTTTTCGAGAAAAAAACACATCTTTTTAAAAATATGCAAAATTTTCTACTTTCATTTTTTCAGCTTCTGAAAACATTTTTTTCAGATTCAACATCAAAAACTGACTATAGACAAGTTGTTAAATCGACTCTAGACCCAAAACTCTATCGGTGGTGGCGCTTAGAATCGTGTGGAGTGAGATATGTATAGGTGGATTTTGTAAACTTATCTAGTTGTTGCATGTAAATGATTGAGCTAAATATTTTGTCTCATTCTATTTACCGTACCACCCCCACCACACCACAGATCGTTTTTTTTCTTTCCTTTTCTTTGTTGAGAAAATCCGGTTTTTCCGGATTTTGGGTTAAATAGGTAGAATCCGGCCCGTATTTCTCCATTTCCTTCACAAAAACGAAGCTTTCATGCAATAACATTATCATATTCGGAATCAGCGCAAAAACTGAATCAACTGATGTATAATTTAATATCTTCCGTTGACTTCAGTTTTTTTTTCGGGTTTTCAGATGAAAACCTGGTTGCAATTTTCACCAAAAAATAAAAGTTAACAGAATTTTCAAAAACACACACCAATCGATTCAGTTTTTTGTGCTGATTCCGAATATGATAATGTTATTGCATGAAAGCTTCGTTTTTGTGAAGGAAATGGAGAAATACGGGCCGGATTCTACCTATTTAACCCAAAATCCGGAAAAACTGGATTTTCTCAACAAAGAAAAGGAAAGAAAAAAAACGATGTGTAGTGTGGTGGGGGTGGTACGGTAAATAGAATGAGACAAAATATTTAGCTTCATCATTTACATGCAACAACTAGATACGTTTACAAAATCCACCTATACATATCTCACTCCACACGATTCTAAGCGCCACCACCGATAGAGTTTTGGGTCTAGAGTCGATTTAACAATTTGTCTATAGTCAGTTTTTGATGTTGAATCTGAAAAAAATATTTTCAGAAGCTGAAAAAACGAAAGAAGTAGAAAATTTTGCATATTTTTAAAAAAGATGTATTTTTTCTCGACAAACGACATCGTTCGAGTATTTCGTATTTTTCCATCGGAAGGAAGCATTTGCTGAGACTAAAAAATAGATTTTCATGACCAGCAGCTTTCGCTCTATTAAATGACGCAGAAAAAAAAGACAAAAAAAAGTTTTACTCGAAATTCACATTGCCAACACCTTAAATGGATTACTAATGAAAAGAAAAATCATAAAAGTGCATAATGAACCATGAAATTTTATCATGCAGCAATGAATAAATTGTTTGATGTTGCATGTTCATCTATAATTATTCAATATTTTAAGACAGTCATGTAAAAGATACGCTCATTCAATAAGAATTAAACAATTTTTTTTAAAAGTATGACCATAATAATATTGAATCTTAATTTCGGATATATTGTTCAATTAAGTAATGCATTTATTTTTCATAACTGTCATCTTAGCTAGAAAAACTAAATACATTAAATTTATGATTTACAATACTTCGGTAAAGAGAAGCTATGAGAATAAGAATATATTTATAAAACAGCAGATGAATAAATCATCATCTTGTTATCAATACAGTTGATAAGTTCATATTAAAGATTTCATAAATTATATAGTCTTGAAATATATATGCATATAACTATGATGATGAGGATAGTATATTAACTCTTATAAGAGTTTTCAAGAGATAATTGAATTCTTAGAATTATATATGAGAAGAAAAAAAAATACTTTGAAAAAAACTCAGCAGCTTAATAATTTACAAACAATTAGTTTCTTGGAAAGTTTCATTCATGACAAAATGATAAATGTCGATGGAATGAATACAAACAAGAGTTTTTTCATATAGAACGATGCTATTTTGATCTGTTTTGGGCTAAAAAATGCTTGCAGTCAGATATATTATAGACATAGAAAGATTTGATGTAATATATATTTATTGATAGATGTTATTTCTCTTATGTCTGTCTACTCAAGAGTGAAGAATTTCGTAATCCATGAAGATATTTCACAATAGAATGTCTAAGTTTTAGTATCATAATGCAATGAACTTTATATTGATCAGAGGAATTATATAGAAGAAAGTATGAAGTTTATAGTAAATTGTAAAAAAATAATGCATTGCGATTTAACATCTAGTTTTATGACAACATGAATAAATCTCAAAATAAACCTGACAGACTCATTAAAGAGTATATTCTTTGCGATGCATCATGTAACGAAGAGATCGTTCTAGGATTAATAATTCTTGTCAATTTGATTTAGTCACAAACAAAGTTAACAACGTAAAGTGTTGTTTGAATTCGTCAGTCCACCAGCACATTGAGGACTTCGGTAAGAGAAAAATGGTTTGTTGGACAAACAAGCAGTTATGATCATAAAAACAATTGTTTCAAGTCTATTGTAAAATGTATAAACTCAGTTTTCTTTTATTTTTACTACAAAAAGACAAATAAAATTTTCAAAATAGAGCAGTGATCGTTCCTACTGCACCTCCCATAAATTTGCCACTATTCCAATCTGTTCAAAATTCATAAAAATGAAAAATAAAATGTTCATTTTTTTTAAAATTTATTATTAAAAAATGTATTGGTCTTCTTAAAATAGGATCATTAAAAAAAAACTAGATTAAATATTTTTATCTCGTTCATAAAAGCCAAATAAATCATTTTTAATTGCATGTTCATCAAAGTTACAATTAGAAACTGGTTAAATCACTTCTTCGACTACGAATATGATAAATAACATTTTACGTTATAGAAAACACCAATATAGCCTATACATTGAGTTTATAAATGAAGATTGTATAACATCATCTTTTTTTAGATTTTTCAAAAAGTGAACATAAATAATTTAAAAAGAAAAAAAAACTCAATGTTATCTTGCCTTAAAATGTATAAAACAATGACAAAAGCAGTCCATCAATGATTAATTCAAGAAGTTTAACTATGACGTCAAATTAAATAATCTGAATATATGAATTTAATGATTATTATATCATTTCAATTCTACAAAGCATTCTTGCACAATAGCTCAAGAGGCAACTTCTCCAGATATCAAATCGCTTTTCACTGAAACAATGTTTATTTGATGAGTGCTAGAGAGTAATAGAAAAGACTAGAATGGTTTGTTTTTTCCAAGTCATCGTTCTTGAGTTATCGAAATTTTATTGGATTTTTCAACAAAAAACTATAATCTCTCTTCACAGTTATGTAAAAAATCGACTTTCAATGTCAAACGTAGCACTTATATTTTTAATAGTCTATTAGAAAAACAATTGTCTTTGTAAGATGTTTCAATTTTCTTATGAATTCAGTATAAAAAATTTAAGCATTAAAATGAATATTTTTATTTGCTATTATTAGCTAGTATATCACTTTCGGTATTCATCAATTTTTAACTTTTCTTACAATTTCAAGGATTCTTTATATTTAAAATACATCGAAGTTCAATGTAACATTTGCATATATCTATAGAACTAATGTTGAAACACGATTCTTTTCTCAAAGACGTATTCTATTAACAATAAATTTTAATGCAAGTAACTGTGTTCTTTTACCATCGCGTGACCGGTATGCTTTTTTTTTCAATTTAAAACATCTTTTGTTTTACTATTGAATAGGTAATGCATTTTAATTAACACCTATTATTCATGACTTTTGTTTCCTTTAGTTTATATATATATATCTCTTTTTGCAAATACAGAAATGCCAAATTGACTAAATAGATTAAAGTCCAAAACGGCATTAAGTAACTTTAATTATGTTCCTGACTTTTTCAAGAAATGATGTCATGGTCATAGCACTATAAATGAACGTTCGATTCCTACGCATTTGTCATGTTTGTTTGAAAATATATTTACTTGAATCTATTAGTCGATCACATATGATGTACGCAATACTACTAGAGATTTATTATTTACCAACATTCTATATTATTTTCGACTTTGACAAGTCTTCAAAAGGCTGAACATCTTGATTATTTCCTAAACTATTCTCTTTTCTTCCATATTGACGTAATGCTTCCTTTTCAAAGAAATATGTGATACTACACAAGTCACTATCAATTAACTAACACCCACCCTTTTTCTAACTCATCAACATGATTGCCTTTTTTAATGACAAGCGGTTTCATATTAGTGAAAGTCATCAAACTGATAATTTTATATAATTTTTGTCTCATTTATTTCGATACTGATTATGTAACATGTAAAAGTCATATATAATATATATTTATCTAAATATAATGTGCAATCAATGTAAATGTAGTTAGTGTGAGAAATTTATTTTGTTTTCTTGTAACACTAATATTTTATGAACAAGATATGAAATTTTCATCGTATAAAAGTGAATTTTTTATTATTCGATATCATTGATGTAAAATAACAATTGTCTATATCTTATAATCTAGCTTGAGAGGAAAGTGATCAAGACCAAGATGTATTGCACAATATTTCATAAGTGTATATCCACAATAATACTTAGCTATATTTTCAGGTAATCCATTCAATTCTGTTATACAGCTTTTTATTGTATTAGCTAATGCATCTATAAAAATCGAACTGTATAAGTTAATATTCATAGAGAAAAAACAAAACTTACAAATGCAAGGTGGATGTAGTTTTCCTGTGTTATTATCAATACATTTACCATATTTTGCTGGAATACCTTGTAAAGCATATACAGTATCATAACATACATCAACATAATGTTTGTGGTGCGGATGCTTTATTAAACCCTATGATGTTTTTAAAGACGAAACAATTTATTTTGAATAATATTAAAAGAAAGATTTAAACTTACATAATGAAAATCTCGACATGTCGGAACTTTACAATGGAAATCATCAATAGCTATTGCATTTATCGATGACAAAGTTAATATTGATACGATTGAGATTATCAAGAAAAAATCCATTGTGATGAATGTTGTTGTTACTCTAATTTAAATATAAGAATATAGGCAAAAGAGAAATGAACGTTAGTTATAATGAGTATTCTTCTATTCTTTTGATTATTAGAGACGATACAGACAAACGTTCTTCTCTTTTATTCATGCTTAGAAAAGAAAAAAAATCGTGGGTTAAAGTTTATTCAAACAATAAATTAGTTTATTTATAGTTTAACATTAGTTTATTTATAGTTTGACATTAGTGTATTTATAGTTTAGCATTCATTTTATACTAAAATACAATAGTATATCTTACTCAATTAGTAATATGTATATCTGAATTAGTCGAAAATTTAATAATCAAATTAAAATCTTCATATAATATGGAAAACCATATGACGAAAAAGAAAATTTTGAGTGAGAACTATTAGAATATTTCAAGAATTAATCGAAATAGTTTATGGAAAAAAAATGTAAGAAAGAAGAACAAGGATAAATAAAAATCAATAAATGAATTTGAAAAGCATCTGTGAAATAAAATAATATCTAAAAGTAGTTAAAGAGCAATGTGACTCACATTGTTAATTGAACCATATGCTCAGATCATTTGAAGCATAGAAATCAGGAAAAAGAAAAATGTTTCCTATTCTTTTATGCTTATGGTTATGACAAAGAAAAGCTCTAACAACGATTATCATGATCAGATAAAATGAAAAGATTAGAAAACATGTGAACAAAATCTATAAGGTAACATGAACATTTACTTTCTAACAGTGAATAAATATATCTTTGTAATCTCACCTATGTTTAATTCTGGAAAGTATAATAAGAAAATATTAAACTTCTTCATTTTATAAATAGAAAAATGATGTTAGTATTAAAAACCAAAATAATAGACTTTAAATAATATAAAGAAATTAATTAGAAAAACTGAGATCTTGAGATATTCTGAAAGATGAAATCAAAATCATTCCATCTGTTAATCATTCTATAAATTACATTATTTTTGAACTAAAGCTTTTTATTTAAACAACAATTAAAGAATGTCGCTAGATATATTTGCATATTATCATTTATTTTACATGGTTTAACATAATTTGCAATCTTTATACGATAAATCTTGAACTAGAGTGTGGGTGTGGGGTAGGTGGTCTGGTAAACGACATCTACATCCTTACAAGTAACTGCATTTTATGTATGAGAGTTATTGATATGGTGCTGATGATGATGATCGTATGTCAACAGAATCACCATTAAAAATAACAGAAGTAATGAAAATAATACGAAAAGTTCATTTATAAGTAACAATACAACAATTGAAATAACATTGATTAATTAATGAATTAAAATCTGAATTAACTGATGTTTATATTAATTCAAAAGCTAAAAGACAAACAACATTAGAGAATTTTTTTAAATTAAATCTTGCTTTTTTATTGAAAAATCTTTGAATTCTAATCCTTTAGATGAAAATAGGTGAACAAGAGAATAAAATAATCAGACTTTATGTCTAAGACTAATGTAGAAGTAGATATTCTGAAAATTTTTTCCTTATTTCATAGTAAACAATCCATCCACTCTCTAAACTGAATACCTCCGAATAGTGAACGCTTTTAAATAGTTCCAATGGTATTCGCAATATAGAAGTTTTACTGTATATATTTATTTCTAAAATCACTAATGGAATTGTTAGTTAAAAAGTAAAGTAAAGAAATGCATCATCTTCCATGAGAATGTTTCCAATTTCAAATTTTTTGCCTGTAAGAATAAAAATCGACAACATAGACTACATTCGAAATCATAATCATCCATTTCTATACTGTGATTAATAAATTCAATGAGATATTTATATAAGATCACAATTAAATCTTACACTATGTGATTGATTTTCGACTAGATGGTGTATATATATATAAAGATAAGGAATTTCAAATTCAAGGTTAGATGTTTATATTAATGAAGAACGGTAACAATTTATTGAGAACAAGAACACAAAAAAAAAAACCAAAGTGAACCATTTAGACAAACAATAGGATGTATATCAAATAAATCTTCATAGGATATTCTTTTATTTTATTTTTTTTTTCTTTAATACATTGAATGTGTTTGAACAGATCGTGGTCTTTTGATTTTTTCTAAATTTTTCATCAAAAGATCATGAACACTGGTCTAAAAATAAAAATATTTTAATTTAAAAAAAAAAAGAAAATAATTAATTTGATATTACATAATGATTACGAAGTTCAAGCGCAATAAAACGCATTGAAACAAATTGTTTTTCATCTAATGATTGAACACTACGACGATAATCATCAACATGAGGATATTTAGCTACTTTTTTAATAAGTTCACCACGAGATACTAAATATTTATATGTTAAATCAAGATATTGTGTTACATCCGTTTCTAATGTACGAATTTCTGCTAATGAATCCTAAATTGCAAAATTCTTTTCTTTCTTTTTTTTTTTTTAACTTAAATATTTTTACTTCTTGTATGCTAACACCAAAATTATTCCCATCTTCAACTTTTGGTATCATTAATTGAATCCATAATTTAATAATAGCAATCTAAATAGGAATAATCTATGTGAGAAATTATTTTCAAAAAATGTGCGCATATGAGTCAATTGCAACTTTTTAATATGATTGGTATGATAAACTGAAAGTAAATCTAAACAATTTCTGATTAGTATATTTTATTATACTCTATGCTTATGTTAAGCAGCAAATGTTTTCCAACATTTCATTGAATATTAAGGAGCATATACGGTATATAGTTTAATTCAATAATAAAATTGGCTTTATTCATTGAACGAGTTCGAGTCATTGTTAAACTCTGTTTAAAGGATGGAGAGTCAGAAAAAGATCGTATCACATTGAAATTTACTTGTCGTATCCTGTTTATTTAAGTTGTATCCGAAAAGAATATTGTCAAATGAATGTGACTGGAGAAATATCTGATGAAAAATCATCACTCTACATTGTTTATTATAATGTGAATTTCTCTTGACTGGTACAAGATCAAGAGCTAAAAATTTCTATCACTAATAGAACTTTTTGCTTTACATCTACTATAGAAATTTGAGCCAAATTAAACGTTTCATTGAAGAATTATAATTCAGGCAATTTTTAAATTGTCAATCTTCAAAGTTAGTATACTGACTTTTTTTTAGGAACAAAGCTGGTAAGACAGAGTTTTTTAGAGTTCTCTTTCTTTTCATATAATCTGCGTACCGCTAGCTCTATCATAGGGAGAACTAGAGCTAAGTTTTTATTACTCTACATAAAAACATACAAGTGTCTATCAGATATTGTGAACGTCGGATAAATGAATAGCAAAGAAATTAAATTTAAATCAATTATATATTTTGATAGAGCGTCAACACCCTGTACACAACAGACTAATTATGTCCTTTTCCTTTTTTTTGCACGTGTCAACCAAAAATGTCCTTTTTTTTTGTAATGATGTATCTCTCATAACTCAGCGACAGTAAGAGCTAAAATTTTGTATGACAGTAGGATTTTCAAAGAGGAATAACATATAAAAAAAGATTATTCAAATCGATTGACATAAGTAGAAGTTATTAGCTAAATACAACTAAAATTTCAATCGTACGAAAAAGTTGCAAATCACTCAAATGTATATATAAATTATACATACACTATCAAGAAAATGAAAAATAAATGGTTTGAGCTTTTCTTCTAAAATTGTTATCAATGGATTTGATGGAACAACACCATTAAATACATATACTGGTGTTCCTACATCGACAGTACGACTTGTTGAGATTGATGGCGTTGAATTAGCATTATCTGTTGAATCTGTTCGACGTTTTTTTGTTGTATTTGTATTGAGTGTTGATGTAGAATTATGACGATCCTGTAACGAAAAAAATTAATTATTTATTTTCTTATCACATGATAATGATTTAGCAAAGCATTGATACACAATACATTGAAAATTTAGGATATTTTTAAACTTTTGTTATATCACGCGAATGAAAACTGATATTCAGATAGATCATTTCATTCGATTGATATACTTGTCAAGAACTGAAGAATGGAAATTACACTCGTCTATCTCGACAAATGCTAAACCAAATACTTTTAGAAAATTAAATTGCAACTTTTTGAAGCAGTGAATAATGACTTCTTCAAAATAAAACTGATGTAGAAAATTACTATTCTTCTCTTAAGTTTTTAATAGTATCTAAAATTAAGCAGCATGTTTTTCATACTCGTATTCATATTAATGAATTGAAATACTCTATGGTGCGCAAATTTTGGTACAAAATTGTCGATCACTTAATCGCAATTGGTTAGAGCCAAAAGCAGTTGGTTAAAATTAACCTTTTTCGATCTTTCCGAATATGTGTTCAGAATTTTCTTCCGGAGTACTATTGACTTTAATCAATTGTCTTTTAGTGGCCAAAAAATGAGCAAATATCAAAGGAGAAAAGCCTGATTTCGCCATTCTGACACTCTATTGATTCCGAATGATCGATTCTTTCGTCAGGAAATATCTATTGGAAAAAAATCATAATTTTGTATAAAGTTTGATCAAAGATTTCCAGTATCAAGGACTCCGAACCTGTAATCATTTTCTCGATCAAGTATCCTAAAATAGCCTATGTCGCAGCTGAAAATCAAGTACACAATTTCAAGAATCCGATTAGAACCTAGGACTGGCGACCCTGAAAACATTTGATAAAACTTTATAAAATATCAACTATTTCGAAAAATAGTCTTTCTCTGATAAGCTCACGAAGTCTTCGTTACCTGATAAGGGGTAACTGGTAACTTCTCAACCCTAATATTAGCTATTACAATTAAGTAGAATGATCTTCTGTATCACTCAAACGAAAATATTAGTGATTTGAGATGTTCTCAAGAAATTACGGAAGTAAAAGTAGCTGATTCCAAGTGCTCTTATTGCTTCCAAGCGATTCTAATGCCAAAGAATTAGCTTTTTCCTTTCTTGGCGAATATTTTGTGCCAAGACTTTCGCGCTATAGATTAGATATAAGAATGAACAAAATACACTACGCAGCTTCCTAACGTCAGCTATGATAAAATATAGAATTGATGATTGATGTCTGTTATAGCTCTTTTTGTCATAATCGGAATGAACATTTTCATTGAAAACATATTGAAATAAATAAATGAAACTTACATCACCGGATGTTACGTTATTACTGTGCGCAACGATATCATCAGCTGTTGGTAATCGAGTTTCTGCACGAACTTTCGATACTTCACTGAATGATAATACTGGACTCTTTTAAAATAAAAAACAAAAAAGCAAAACAAATTATTTATAATAAAATTAATGATTCAATACAAACCGAAACAAGTGTGTCAAGTTCAAGAGCTTTTTCTGGAAATACAACACGAATTAAATGTTCAGCAGATAGTTTTATTTTTGTTGAATAATCATCCATTGTCTTTTTCTTTCTCTTCTTTAAATTAGTCTTTAATCTGAAGAAAAGAAAAACACATATTGTGATTATAAATATTTATTTTGAATAATTATCAGAAATTTTACTATTATTAATAATACTACGTAATGATTAATAAAAAAACATCGAATAAAACAATTACTATTTGTCTAATGATGCAAAAAAAAAAGAATGCTAGTATTTTTCTCGACTAGTATAATGTAAATAATTCAAATAATGGTTTTTGTTTTTGTTTGATATCTAAATTTGAAATAAATTTATAAAGTTTATATGTTAAAGCTTTTAAATGATTATCATTATTATTATTATTTTCATTGAAATTTTTTTTATAAAAATAATCAATAATACATTCAAGAAGTAATTGATAATCATTTATTGTTGTAAATGTCAATGATGATGATAATGATTGAAGAATTATTTGACGCATTATTGGTCGTTTTATATAAGACCAATCAAATAAAAATTGAAGATTACCTACAAACATAAAAATTTTATTTGTATTTTTATTTTTGAAGAATTAAATTAAATTTTCTCATCAATAATTATATGATATTTACCAATGTATTTTTGTTTCTTTTTAAATATAATAAGAAACTTATCTGCAATAGTTTCAAGTTAATTTGTTATTATTTAAGAAAAAAAATAATCACTGTAGATTGCTCAGAAATGACGATATCATGTGACTAACGTTGATTTCTTGGTTTTTTAATTACAAAAGGTAAATGCAAAATTATAAGAGAAAGAATAATAATCGTCAATCTTCAGTTTTATCCGTAATAGCATGTTGCTGGGTAATTCATAAGTAACTTTTCAATAAAAAATTTGAATATCTCCAGTCGGTTTCATTCTAAAGGACTAATTTTTTTTTCTGTGATAGAGAAGACTCAAAAGTTATTTTTTCCGTAACAATTTTATGGTCTTACAGGTAATAACATGAATCTAAAATTACGAAGTATATTTTTTCGAAATCTCTATAAAAATCGAGCGCCAGCAAGGTTAGCCAAAGTAACTCTGGCTTTTACTTTATTGTACTTATAAAAAGACAGATATCTATATCGACGGCGAGAGAGAAAAGCACAACCAAGCATGGTACAATGAAACACATGATGGAATATTGTTCGTCGAAGGACGAATGTATGTATACACACTTGAGTCTATTAGGACCATCGTCAACACTATAAAAGATGTAAATGCATTATTAAAGTCAATGATGATATTTCAAAGCAATGTTTATAAATATTGTTCTTATGGGAAAACAAACTTAGTTCCATAGAGTGGAGATATTCTAATTTTTTATCATAAAGCTACTTATGGATTATTCTGTATATGATTAAAAATTCTTCAAAGACAATTTCGTTATTGATCATTCTTATAAGATACATCAAAATCAATTTTTTTTTCAAAAGACAACTCAATCAAGATTTAGGGAAAATAATTCGAAAGAAATTTTACAAAACTTCGAAGTGTATACGTTGAAAGAAAATCAGACTTAGTACAAGTATCGCACCAATGTTTTATTCAGCATGGGGATGGCATTCCACCAGAAAAGAAAGTCTGGATGAAACACTATGTCTTGGTTTCATATCAACACTTTTTAAAAGAACTAGTCAATGGACGATTGGAGAAGTTGAAGGTAGTTACCTTCTTTTTCTATCAATTTTTATATTTCATGTACTTAAACCTTCTGATTTGCCATTACAGTATTATCCAACAAATGTATATTAGCCAATTGCAATATTGTTGTACTCTCTTGAGAAAAAAAAATTTGATTTTAAAGTTGATAAATAGCACATTTCACTGTGGTGTGAATCTCTTGTTGACTCACATCCATACTATGTCATTCTGCTAAGCGCTACGGAATATAGCAGATAATTAAAGAAATAAGGCTTTTGATACGGATCAAGGAGATCAATTTAAGCACAGGCCGAAGTTTCTGTAACCCATTCTTTTAGCATTGACATATGTAGAAAATGTTGGCTCTTTCAATTGACTATTAATTAAAACATAATTAGCGAATGCTTCTCTAACCATATTTAAAAAAATCTGAAAATTGCATAATAGCATTTTCAGAAAGATCGGACTTAAAAAAAACCGGTTTCCTAGAGATTCTGCCGAGTTCTAAAACAATGTCTTATGATCATCTAGAGACTTTGAAGACGGGTTTGTGCTGTTTCAAATTGATTTTAAACTACTTATTCGATTCTAAGAACATTTTTTGCGAAAAATCTAGACACGCTCAGAAAAAAACTTTAGACAGAAATTTTTTTTAGTTTTCAAAACTGCTGCGTCAATTCAGAGCTTTTTTTTAAACTAAAATGCACAAAGTGAAAGTCGACGTCCTGTTTTGTGTCACATCACTAACGCTGATTTTTTTTTCAAGTTACCTAGAATAACTTAACATATATAACACATAAAAATGATTTCCTAGATATACGCGTTCTAATTTTTCGAAATCTCATTGCAAACGAATGACTTTGTCCATGCATAACAACTTCTGACTATTTGAAAGAAAAAAAACCCATTGGTATACCTGGATATATATCATTAGCAGCTTTTAAAATGGCCATCATTTCAGCATAAATAGCTAAATGAATTGCTTGTGAATATCGATGTAATAAACAAATATAAAATGAATCAAAAGGTGTTTTTGTTTGATTTAAAAATGTTATTTTAGTTGGTATATTTGTTTGCAAAAGTAAATGCTGAAAAACAATTTTATTTCCACTACAAATAAGATGAAAATGTCGTTGAATCATTGTACTTGTTTCTAATTCAATTAAATTCATACAAAGATAATATTGAAATTTAAATTCATTATAAATTAATTCAATTTGATTATATCCCATAAATGATGAACATTCAACATAAGCCATACGTTGTTTATAATCATTTGGAAATGAATTTATTAAATTTTTTATTGATATTAAATCATTTTGACAATTTATTAATACAGATGATAAATATGGTAAATCATGTTTATTATTAATTAAAGTAAAATTACTTGATGATAAATATGTTTCATTTGTATTTGATATTAATAGATAAACATGAAGACCAACAGATGAAAAAAGATGTGCTAAATTACAAGCAGTTGAATTATAACCATAAAGAGCAACTGCATCCAAACATGAAGAATTTGATTTTGAAAAATTCGAATTACTTGAAAAATGTTCACACATCTGAAATATCCTTTTTATTAAATGTATCATTATATAAACATGAGAAAGAATAGAATAAATTTCGAAATATTTATTTTTAGATACAGAGTTAATCGATACTCAAAACTGAAACAATCTGATACTATTGATATCACTATCCTTGATAGTTTTCGAAATATAGCACTCTTCAAATAGAATAAAGCAATGGAACATTCATATGTTTTTATAACAAAACTCAATTTGAACGTTCAACAATAGAAAAATAAATCAATTAGAAGAAAATTTTAAGGAATATTTCAGTCAAATCTATTTATTGAATGAAAGAGTTTATTTTTCTCACTTGAAAAACAATTTTGTAAATGAAAAATTGTTTCTGAGTCAGGAATGATTCGATGTGATATACCTCAATCAAAAAAATTTTTCGTGTGTTTGTCTTAGATAAAACAATCTTTACATCCTCTAATCTTATCTACTTCGGCAAGGGGGAAACGGCGGACTTGAAGTAGAAAAGTACGTCAAAGTAGACTACTTGAAGTAGCTCAAAGTACCACCCAAGTAGCCCAAAGTAGGAACAAGTAGCTTAAAGTGACTTCAAGTAACTTCAGGTAAATTTGAAGTTGAAAAATACTTTAAAGTAAGCTACTTCAAGTAGCTGAAAGTAACTTGAAGTAGCTTAAAGTAGCTCAAAGTAACTTCAAGTCCAAAAGTCCGCCGTTTCCCCCTTGTACTTCGGGTTAGTTATATTCCTAGCTAACAATAAGATCAAAACCACAAATTGATTTTATAATATAAGTTCAAACTAAATGGTCCCCTTTTTCTTAATAAAGTTAACAAGTTTATCTTCTAAGAGACAAAATGATGTCTTTATACATCTTTATAAACTTAGACACTAATTATAATTCATTGTTTTTGGTTTCAAAAGGCATAAAACCGTTACAATCCAAGATGTTTTCAATAGAAATTAAAATACATCGGATAATGCTAATCTGAAAAAAAATTGAATTGAATTTATTTCATCTACATAAACTACCTGTTCTTTTGATTTAAATCCGTTCAAAGTTAAAGAGTATTATCTATGGTTAATCCATTGATGATCACGAGATGTATGACATAATTAGATAAAAATGAAAAGAAAATAACTAGTAGAATTGATTAATATCTGTTACTATTGATTAACTAATCTTGTAAAATTAGAAGAAAATTTGTAAAATAATGATAACAAAAAATAAAATCGAAGGACAAGTACAAATTTCTTTCTTTTCTTTGTTCCGATGGATTTTTATTCTTCTTATCCTATTAGTCTTATATTTCTATTGGCCACTTATTATTCATCAAATAAAAATAAAAACGCTAGTTGTCGCTGTTCAATTAAAGATTTTTATTTCTTATTAAAATTTTCTTAATGATTTGATTAGTATGATAGAATTTAATGATAATTTCTGTTCTTCTACAATTGATTGAAAAATAACAAAAAAACAAATTTATATAGATCTTGAAGCATAACAACTGTTCGTCGCTTAGTTGCCAAAATGCTTCGCATCAAGATCGATGGTGATCAAGAACAAGGAACTATACTTATCGATGTAAAAGATCCTTTGTTTTATTATCTATTATAATTTATTTTCTTTATTTTAAGACTTTGAAATTATCTGAACAAAAGTCAGGCATAAAAATTCTAACAAAAAAAGATGTATTAACACTTTATTTAAATAATCGGTTTGTCAAATGATTTTTATTTAAAAAAAAATTTATTATTATTATTATTATTATTTTTTCTTTTATTATTTAATAGAAATATTCAAAGTATTCCATCACTTGCAATATTTCCTAATTTAAATTGTCTTTCAATTGATGGAAATCATCTTCAAGATCTTGAATTTATTAAAACAAATTTTGCATTAGCAGAACTTTATGCAGGAAATAATCATATATCGAATATTAAAGGATCACTTAGTCAATTGAAAAATTTACGTATACTTCATTTACAAAATAATCAAATATCAAATCTTAACAATCTTACCTATGAATTACGACATTTAAGTGCACTTGAAGATCTCAGTAAGTTAAATTCATTAAATTTCAATACATAAAAATGTTATTTTATTTAGATTTATTTGATAATCCAGTAACTTTTGTTCATGGTTATAGATCAACAATAATTGATTTACTTCCAAAACTACGTGTTCTTGATCGAAAGGGTATTTAAGAAACAAAACAAAACAAAACTCATCAGTTCTCTACATTTTTGTTCTTTTATTAGCGATTTCAAATGCAGATCGAATTCGAGCATTTAATGATCGTCATCCTGATCGAAAAAAAGTACTTAATCGTATTGGATTTGCTTATCATCTCGAACCAAAACAGAAACAAAATTCATTAGAAAAGATAACACTTTATTCATCATTACCATCGGTAACAAAACCTACAGTACAGATCAAAGAAAACAATCAGAATTGCCAATCGCATGAGTAAATTTTTTCATATATTGTTCAGAATAAAAATATTTAATTGTGGCTTTTTTTCTTATAAATAGACAATTGTTAAATGAAGTTATACGTAATCGAGCCTTACGACGTAGTTTAACTGAATATTCACAATTTGATTGGAACAAAATTCCAGTAGGTGCTGAAAAACGTTTGATGGAAGCAGAAAATGCAGTAACACAACCCGATGTCATTTCTATCTTTTTCCAATAATATATAAATGTTTGATTTTATATATAAATAATTTTTTAATTTACACATTCATATAATAAATATAACTTTCACAATTCATATTGAAATATAGTTCTTGACTGCTTAACACTTTCGTATAATGTTTGAAAGTTGTACTCAATTACAGGAGTACTTTTTCAAGTGTTTAAACTCTTAAGTTATTATTTGTGTGACTTGTTATGTAGTTAAACATCTCATGATGCCTTTATGTTGTTGCATACTTATATACTTGAATAAAAGTTTCAAATATGAAATATATCTACAAACGTTTTGTCAATCAATAGCACTTGAATGAATGAATCATTTTTCAACCTCTTGACAATTTTTTCTTCTTTTTTTTATCGTATGAAACATAATTTTACTTAATTAAAGTTTGATCTATTTAACAAAACATTTCAAATCTTATTTAGAACATTCTCATTATTGTTGTTTATGATTTAAAAACAAGTAACCCTCGCCGTTACGACTCACTTGATCCTCGACTGAATGTTCAATTCTTTCTGTATAATTGACTGCTTTACAAGTCCAATCGACATTAATATCAAATGTATCCATGCAGTGAGGCATGTATGAGTCTAAGTTTAGATAGTTGATACGCATGTCAGTGTCCGTGTGATTCTTCTCTTTATCTATTCAATCGATCGCATATCCATGCACAGATTTTTCAGCACAGACTATTCCAATAAGACTGCTCTATGTCAACTTACTTGGAAACGGATCGGCAAACTGGTACCTCACCATCCTGTCTGCCAGTCACTGGTTTGGTACGCATGAACTCTTAAAACCGGCCAGTTTTCACTAGCTTTTTATTGATGTTTTGGAGAGCACTAGAGCTAGCCTACTCTGGTGGTTTTTAACGATGCCCATCGTTTTAATGATCAAGAGATATGAGCCTGGAAGTTTTCGACTCACAGATTTCTAGTTGTTGTCAAAATCTCAGCTCTAAATATTAGTCTAACACTTTCTCATAATACGATGAGAGTCTGAAGTCTCGTTGAATGAATTTATTATGCTCAAGAAAAGTTAGTCAGATTTTAGAAGCTAATTTCGGTTTAAACTAAAGACTTTCACCTCGAAAGTGGAAGCGCATTTTTCTGGACTATTTTTAACCAGTTCTCATAAAATCCCAATAGCTAATTATTTTTCAGTGCATGCTTTCATTACAAAATATCAGAAAATTCTGTTGTATGGTCAAGATCTTGCCAAATATTAGCATCATACAATTGTGAAAATATTTAGATGTTAAAAATATTAAAATAGGAAGTCTAATATAAAAATCGTATGTTTTAACTCATCTTATCTTTCTGTTAGTAATAGTATCCTTTTATGAATTGTGATGTCTTTCGGTTGTGTTAAATAATTATTTCAAATAAGAATAGATCAAACTTCTCAATTGTAAAGAAATCATATCATTATTGAAAAAAAGTGAGCCAAAGCATAGTATAGATGTTGTTCAATATTAGTGGCTGTGAATTACTAAATGAAACATTTTGAAAGCAATGTTCGTCTATTCTTAATGTTAGCACATATGAAACATGACAGATAACAATAGAAGTTGTTAATATTAGAAACTTCAAGAGTTATGTGAGTTTTACATTGTATATCTTCGTAGAACTGAAGAATTAGGTTGTTTCTCGAAGGAACTAATTGCTTAGTTGATATATCAAGCACATCGGTTTGTCGCCAGCTAAGTCAAGAATTTCAACCGGCTAGTCTTGTTCGGTCAAAATACCTCGATCGGTTACAAGTATGCCACACACATACAACATTACCTCACTGGCACACGCACACGGGTATGTACATACCCAAACCTGACACACACAGCCCATCACCTCACAGTAACACTCAAAAGCCGCACATACGCCAGACAAACACAGTCACACATAAATCGTACCAACATTCGCATTACACTCTAATATCCACGCCCGCACTTCACACCCAGATCTAGTCTGTACATATGATTGGCATGACTGTTAGTCTGAAAAAACTGATCGGACGAAAGCCAGAAATGGAAAACACCTGTTAGGCTGGAATTCTTGCCATAAAAAAACGAACTTGTTGAGAGCTGAATAACCGAAACACGTGATTGGCTGAATTGCCAACATGAGAAAACCTCATTTCAAATAATTACTCAAGCTCTTCACAAATACATGAGTACATGTGACTTTACATGTACAAGCAAACGCATTTTATTTCATATGACCCTCGCTTCGATCGAGGAAATAGTAATACAGAAATATGGAAAATAAAAAATGTTTTTTTTCTTTGAAATATGACAATAGTTTCAAACTAAAGGATAACTTCCAATGTTTGCAATACCACATTGATTGTGCTTATTACGACTCATCCAAATATAACCTTTATCACCCCATGCGTCACCCCAAGAATTTTTTGCAATATAATAGTCTTTTTTGACTGTACTATTTTTAAATGTATCATAACCCACAAGAATGAATGAATGATCAATATTTGTTGACGAACATTGAGGTTCATCATAAACACCTGATGAATAAAATTGAAACGAACTATGTGAAGCATCAACTGCTACCGATATTGGACCAACTGTAGCAATAGCTATTTGTAAAGCGGTTTCATTTTCTTTAGGAAGATCAACGAAACCCTATAATTCACAAATCAATAAAAAAAAAAGAGTATGAGAGAAAAAATACTAACTGTATCTGTTGCACCAACAGTTTTTGGATTGAAACGACAGTTGCCATCTTTTGCTTCATACGGATAACTTGCTTCTGTATCTATTCCCTTATTAGCTTTGATGTATTGAAATGAAGCATCCATCCAACCTCCATTGCAACCTTGATTACCAAACTCACCAGAACAATCCATTAGATTTTGTGCTGACAATCGTACTAATTTTCCTGTCTTTAGGAAATGTTGTCCTTCTAAAGCACCCGTTGCTGTAAAAGCCCAACACGAACCACATTGACCTTGATTTTCAATGACTTTAGTTACAGCACCTTTCTTGCGCCAATCTAGCAAGAAGAATATATAGAATAATTCAAAAAACTATCTCACCGAAAAAACCCATCTAACTGATAATCTCCGTTTGAGCTCATACATAAGACTCATAGTGTAGATAAAAATCTTGCTAGGGTTCATACCATTACGTCTTTCTTCTCAAGTTATAGTCATACTACTGAACTTTCAGAGTATTTCGGGACATCGCGAGAAAAATCATAACAAAGAGTTTCGGCCTGCAATCCTTCTCAACAATAGTTCTCACGATATCCTGAAAGTTTCAGGTCAAATCGATGATTTCTTTTTAAGGTATCGTATGGACTGCTTTTGAAGCTCTTGTGTGAAACTAATGTTTTCTGCAAACGTGGTATCTCAGAAGAGTAACATTCCGTTTGATCTGCAACTTTCAGGATATCATAAGAACCATGAGAGCTATTATTGGGGAGAATTTCAGGCTAAAACTCCTTATTGCGACTTTTCTCGTGATCTCTTGAAATAGGCTAAAGATTCAGTAAAATGACCATAACTCGAGAAGAAATATCTAATGCCATGAACTCTTTCAAGATTTTTATCTACACTGTGCGTTCTACCTATAAGCAAATCATGAGCTCAAGGGCGGGCATTATCAATTGAATGGGTTCCCTTATCAGAAAGAGAATTCAACTGCATGAATAAATAATAGAAATGAATTTTTTATCCGAAGAAATTTTCGATCAATTCAAGAATATTAATAGTGAAAATATTTACCAACAGCTGCAGGTATATCTACGTCGGATGGACGATGAAATGAATTTTTATTGGATTTTTTCATATAATCTGTTTTCGAAGGCATTTTGACACCATTTAACATCTTTCGAACAAATTCTTCATGTGTCTAAAATGAACAAAATATAGAATACGAAACTAAGGATTCGAAAATTTATTTATTTACCATGTCAGCAAATTGATTGATTTTGAGTGTATACGAATGCAAACCTATGTCAGCTTCATGATTGTGTCGATCGATCATAGCTAAATTGTCTGTAAATACAACAAAACTAAATAAACAAAAAAAAATTTTTTTTCAATATATAAATTTATTATTGATTTTATTTCTTGTCTTACCGATATTGTTCTTCTAGTATGTTAGCATATTGTTTTTTATGAACACGTTTGAATAAATTCCAAAGTGCTGTTTGTTGATTATCATTCGTTGCTTGTGAGACAGTTAAGATACAAATGAAAAAGAGAAGTAAATGCATGTTGATAAAAACAATGAGGACGATGTAAGCTTGCAAAAATTTTGCCATTCTTTATATACATGAGATAAAAAATAAGCAACGTCAGAGTTTATTTTTTCTTTTACTGTCATCATGATAATTTTCAAATGTTCTAGTTTTCCACATAGACTACTTCAACAAAGAAATTTTTACCCGTGTAAGTAGTCATATTAACAAAGGTATGGATTGTATAGTGAAGAATTTCGTAATTCTTTATTCAAAAAAGATTACGCGACTGTTTTCATTAGAAATTCACTAGTTCATATTTTATCTGATCTCAACAACATTTATCATACTAGCGAGAACCCGTACATACTACACGGCAGTGCTTTTTCTTTAACGCACGATTTCAAAACTTTAACCTTTCACTCGGTAACGGACACGCAAACTCTCGACGTTATGTACATAGAAGCTCTACGGCGTGATATCCTTATATTGCTAATAGGCCATATAGCCTTACCCTTGGTAGCCTAATCTTCTGAGAGGTACTCGGCCTTATAACGTTTCTCCCTTATAGCCTTACCCCTTAACAGCCTCACTCCCTTATTGCCGTTCTCTCTTGAAGCCTTATCTCCTGATAGTCTTACCCTTTATAGCTTTACCTCCTTATAGCCTTATCCCTTATAGCGTCCTTCCCTTATGGCCTTCTCCCCCTTATAGCCTTACCCCTTGTTACCTTTCCTCCTTATTGTCTTACTGTCTTATAGCCTTATCCTTTTATAACCTTATCTCATTATAGCCTTCTCCCTTATAGCCTTAATTCCTTACCCTTTATAAGTTAACCCCCTTATATCCTTACTCCCTTATAGTCTTACCCTTTTATAGTCTTATCCCCTTATAGTCTCACTCCCTTATAGCCTTACCACTTTATAGTCTTATCGCTTATAGTATTACTCCTTATAGCTCTATCCTTATAGCACTACCCCTTATTACCTTGTCCCTCATTGTCTTACACTCTTATGGCATTCCCCCTTATAGTCTCACTCCTTATAGCCTGACCCCCTTGTTGTCTTTTCCCTTATTGCCTTACTGCCTTACTGCCTTATAGCCTTATCCCTTATAGCTTTAACCCCTTATAGTCTTACTCCGTTATAGTCCTACCTCTTATTACCTTGCCACCTTATAGTCTTACGATCTAAAAGACACTTTTATATCATTACATCTTTTTTCAGAAAGACAGCAGAATAATTATCACTTATATTAAGATTTTTAAGTATGAATCGAGCAGCAATCATGTTATCAATGTTTTGCTTTTTGACTAATGATGGTGAACAGTATTGAGCATCACATTCTTTATATTTCACTTAGTCATATTGAAAAAATAGAGTCTTACTCTTCATTCTTTACCTCTTGGCTTTTGTTATTTTCTACCTATTGATCTCTACATATTTGCTAATTTTTTTATTTCGGTGCACAAATAGCTTTATTTTATTGTCTAGAGCATCTTGTTGTACGAATATTTGTTGGCGGTATGTTTTGTTTCTTAGTTAATAGATCAGGGTATATGTGTGTTCTAGTCAATACTTATGTTATTTTTATCAGGAGAATTATTTACCATCAACATTGTATGCAAAAAATACACATTTGATCGAAAAATGCTTGAATGTTGCTTTTTTTTCCTATTGATTAATGTTACATCTCTTTATGTTATTCGTTGGTTTTAAACTGATCTTCAATAATGAGAAGTAAAGTTTATTAACTAAAGAAGTACACTGATCTGTGGATAGTATTTAATTCAAACGAAGTGATCATTATGTCAATATAAGTTGACTCGTATGAAAATTAATAATGAACGAAGCAAAAGAGTATTTTCTAACAAAATATTAAGTCAAATTTCTTAATAAAAATCAACAATGAACAAATTAGACAAAATTTTTGAAAAGAATGCTTGTGTATTTAAAAAAAACTAATGATTTTGAAAATAGCATGATTAAATATATGTACAAAAATCAAAAGAATTTTTAAGTATTACTACAAGATTACTCGAACATTTAACATATAAAGAATAACTGCAATACCAAATGCAGCAAGTATATGTTTAAGTGTATGTCCACTGATTGTGTTTGATGTTAAACGAAATACTTGTTTATCAGTTACTTCACATACTTTAGCCAAACTATAGAGAATACATGCATATATATAATAAAGTGTATGACTATATACTGATGAAGAAATTAAAAGTAATATTGGTATATAAATCATAGGAAAGAATTGAACGAGAATATATGGACGTAAATCATCGCGATAATACCAATATGCACATGAAGCAAAACCAGCAGCTAATAGAAATGGAAATAATGATTTACCTAATACTGGATTAATACGTTCATCAATTAATAGACCAACTAATGATGAAAATCCAACTGTCATCGGTAAACGATCCCAAACGAGAGTACCATTAGATGGTTTTAAATGATAATAAGCCGAACCAATACAGACACATGCAATGCTAATGAAAAATATAATCCATCCAACTTTTTCAAATGATGTTAAAAATATGATTGTCTTGGGAGATAATAATAAATAAAGACCATAAAGACCAACAAATAGAAAAGGTATGTTTGATAAAACATCTAGAGCATTTGGGATATTTATAAATGATAATGATGGAATTAATTGACGTAATGAACGTCGATCAGCAAAACTATGATAGGATTGAGATTGAGGTACAGGTGGTACAAAAGCTATCATAAAAAACGACCAAAAGCCGGTTGATAATAATAGGAAGAGACCTTTGATTATTGATGATACGGGCCCATGACTAACACAATAGTACTGAAAATAAAATATATCAATCGAACTAATATGATGCGTGATCGATGATTTTTTTTTAAGAAGTAAATAGATTAAAAATTTTTCCAGAATACAATTTATACTATGACCTTGATTTTTTCTAAAAGCTTTCAGAATTATAATTGTTCTCACTGAGTTAAAGTTTAGATTTTTTCGACGGATTATAGATGCTTATTCAAGATACCCGAAAAAGTTTTAGGGTCAAATCGATATAACATATATAATGTACCTCATTTAATGTTATTGTATAAAAACTTTCTCAGTTTATAAACTGATTTTTTTGTCTCATGTAAAAAAAATGATTGACATGTAAAGATCTACAGAATACAAAATCTGCCCACTATAATCTTGTATAAAATAGACTTCGTTTTTTTTTTCTTTATAACTTCTTACTATAAAAAAATATTAAAAAGAAAATATTACATACGCAAAAGATTACTGTTAAGGTGATAAATGCAGATACTACAGATATTGTAGAATAAAATATAGGAACTTTAACTGGATGATCAGTATTATTGATATTCTGGTTTTTATTATTCATTTCTGATGGTACAATTCGACTCGGTTTGTCAATTGTAACCTTTGGCACATATGTCGATGATTCGGCAGCTTGTCGATCTGCTTCTTTTGCTGTACTAGTACGTTCTCGAGTACTACTGTTATTCATATAATCAGACATCTTGAAATAATAATCTAAACATATAGTCAAAAGATAAATAACACTAGAAGTTAATATATAACAATTAGTTCGATTGAGTATCAATATTATTTGTACTAATCATTTAATGTATTGGTTTGTATGTAACTATAAGCAGAATTTTATATATCCATATTATAAGGATGAAACAAAAAAAAACACATATGTTCGAACTCAATGACCTGTGTATTTATCAATAAGCGACATATGAGTCGCACGTGAAACATTACCATATGTGTACATATAGAGTATGAGACGCATTCAGTGGCCTTTACGTATTATCTTTCTACTCATAGTGCGTCATAGAAAGGAGAAAAATATATTTGACAATACTTTTGCGTGTATTCTTCATCTAAAAATAAAAATTCGATTAATTGAGTCTTGTTGCAGTAGCAATGCGAATGGCATAAGTAGATAGTGAATGCAAGTGTTACATTTTCCTTTTCACAATGCTTCTTTAACGATTACTTGTGTATAAAATAATGACGATGTGAAAAAGAAAACGGGAAGAAAAAGATTGACGTCATGTTGTCTTATTTGTCTTCCTTGTGTTGATAGATGGTAAACTCTTATAAATCAAGTATAAATGATGCTGAAAAACGATAGTGGAACTTTCATCATTTCAATTTATTCGCTTTGTAAAGCATCATAAATCGATTGTAAATGTGTCCTTTTCGTACGAAAGACTTGCCAAAAATAGATGAGAGCAATCAAAAATTGTACTTAAAGTTAGTGAGTCTGAACAATTGAAGAAATCAGTCTGCTTTCAACTTATTTGAATGAAATATTATTGTTATATTTTTTGTGCCTGACATATAATTAGTTTACAATGTTTCTTTTTAATGTTTGTAAAGTAACTTGCTTAGACTATAATCTAATAGAATTAAATATATGTCTTTAAAGTTCCATCAATAATCGCGTCTATGCAACATACAAATCGAATGAATACATGTCACTAAAAAAAAAGAAGTATTGTTGTAGTATTAAAAGAATCGCATTATCAAAACATTAGACAGTTAAATGTTATTCAGTTTTTATGATATTTCCATGTACAGATTGAAATTAAACATTGTTTTCTGAAGAGATCGGTAATGAAAACAATTAGAAAGTTACTAGGAATAAAAAATTCAAATTCAAATAGAGTTATGAGAACGAAGAAAACTTCTTAGAATTTACTTTATATTAATACTGTTGATAATCTCATTTATTTTTACAAAAATATTTCATATAAAGATAGTATATTGTTATTGTAAAGATATAATTTAGATCAATACGGTTATTTTCAACATGTAATCTTATCCATGGAAAGAAACAATTCTTTGCAATATTTACTCAGCTACTTTCTTGATTCCAATTGACTTTTTTAAAGTAATCAAGTTGTTATTAATAAAATAAATACCGAGCTAATCCGTTTTCACCACGTTCTTATTAATTTTAATGATATTAAAGCTAGTCTACGTTGCTCATTTTTATCTATTATCATGGTTTTCACGATTTAGAATTATGAATACGAAGTTCTCTCACCGACAAAGTTCTAGTCATCATCTAAATTCCAGCTGTAACTATTGGACTCACATTTTTTCAACGTACGATAAGCGATTCGGATAATGCTGAATTAATTTATTATGGCCATGAAAAGTTATCCAACCATCAGAAGTTGGGTGTTGTCTAAAGTAAACGTTTTTCACCTTGAAATTTCGAACTCACTTTTTTGGACTATTTTTAATTAACCGTTAGAAACTTTCAATGGCTAGTGGTATCAAGTTCATCCTTTCGATGCAAAAATATTCCGTCCTATTGAGAAAATTATATCAATCACTAGCAGCATACAACTGTGAAAATATCAAGATATTCATAAATCTAAATATATATGAAGTATAGTATGAAACCATATTTTCGAGTTTCTATGAGGACTAATATTCTTTTATGGATTGAGAACTCTTTCAATTGTGTTAAGTAATGATTTCAAATTGAAATAGATTAAATTTATCAAGTCTTGTAGAGAAATCATATTTTTATAGGAGAAAGTCAAACAAACAAAATATAGATGTTGTTCAACATCAGACGTTATAAATTTCTAGATGAACATTTTTGAAAAAGTTCTTCTCTCATTCTTAGTATTAGTGTATATGGAACGTGGCAGATTAAAATAAGGCTTCTTCCCATGTAAAAAAAAATATGTAAAAAAATCAATTTTAATAATCAAAAAATCGATTAAAAATCGATTTTAATCATACACCTTTAATCAATAATTCAAGCAGTAATAATCAAAATAAAATCAGATGATAATCGATTATTTCAAATATGATGATTACAATCGATTTGATAAAATTTAGAAAATGGATTATAATCATCATATTTGAAATAATCGATTATCATCTGATTTTGTTTTGATTATTACTGCTTGAATTATTGATTAAAGGTGTATGATTAAAATCGATTTTTAATCGATTTTTTGATTATTTTTTTTTACATGGGTTACTATTAAAACCTTCAAGATATATATGAATTTCACATTGTATGTCTTCATGACATATTAGTAATAAACTTTGTTTTGAAGAGAACTAATTCGTTGATTGATATATTAAACGAATCGATTTTCATCGGCTTAGTGAAGAATTTCAAATGATCGATCCGGTTGAAAAAAATTTTACGGATTCCAAATATGGACGTACGTAATCTATTCATTATATTATTCCTGCATAACTTCAGCGTATAAAATTGGTTAATCATTGAAGAAACAGTCGAGAAGAATATGATACATGATTAAAAAAAATGTATTAGTTTTGCGAAAAATCAAGTTTCTAATTTAATATATTTATTTCCTTTTGTATTGTCTCGTTCAAAAAAAAATTCTTTGCAAGTTTAATAATAACTAAATGACATGTACATAAAAGAAAGAATGCTTGTTTATCATAAAGTAAAATACTATAGTTATAGAAAAATGAACATAGGAATTTATAAATAAGTTAATTCCGATGAAGATGTTGATGTTGTGGATGTTTGCCTATTAAGTTCTTTGCTTTTACTATATTCTTCTAATCCTGCACGAACATCAGCTTGAGCATTTAATTTATCTTTATAATTGTCCGTAAGTGGATTTACAGGTTTCGAAACAATTTCACCACTAAAAAAAAAATTAACATAAATATATTCATTTTCATGTTCATTTTTAGTTTTCTTTTTCAAAATTTTACTAATACAAAGTAAGAATGAAATTCAATGAAGGAGAAATTTATAAATTTTCTTAATGTATCTAGTTTTTAACAAAAAATGTCTGAGTTTTATAGTTTAAAACTTACATAATATCAATAGCCCAATCTCGGAAGAATGGAAGAAGTTGATCATCCATAGCTGGCAAAACGACAAGTCTCTATAAATTGAACGAAAAGAAATATTAAAAAAAAATTTCAAGAAATGACTTTCATACTTTCATTTCAGCTCGTATTCTAGCTTCTAAAAAATCTTCAAGTAATGTATAAGAATAGGTTTTTTTTCCATAAGTAGGTGTCACTTTTATATTAAGACCAGGCATTTCAGGAAAACCCACCCTATACAAAAAAAACAGAACACATTGAATGAAATATATGTAAAAGTGAAAGCAATATATATTTTTACCAAATTCGATCACTTGGTGGTGGAGGAATATTGAGCTAAAAAATGAAAATATCAATATTAAACGTGTAATCAATCGGAATGAAACTTTTTGTGTTAAGTAATACATATAAATCGATAAGATCTATGTTTAAGAAGAATATATTTTAATGCAGTTTAACTGAAAAAATTGCATGAAGTGACTAAAATAAAATTTCATTTCATTGAATTGATTCAGCTCAAAAATCAATTTTCTATTCAAAAGAGACAAAGTTGTGTATTGTAAATTAAAAAGATTGACCATATTCAGCAGTCCGAATTATTATTGTCATTGCTAATTAACTCATTTCAAATATGATCGGTTCATAGCGAATCTCGATTGAGATATTCGATTTTTAAGCGAATAAATTTTCAGAATTATGATGAAATTTATCAAGTACATTAGAATTTACTAATTTTCATGTTTTGATAAATGAAGATAGCCGACTCGTTTCGAACTTGATACAGTTAAACTTTAAGAAGAAATTGAATCTATTACAATCCTAATATAGTCAATAAATTTCAACATGATTCTAAAAACTCATTTTTTGACAATCGGAATGATAGTATACAAATAGCTTTCGCATTACCATACTCCTAATATCATAATTATATATCTTAAAAATCGAACGTCTCAATCAAGATTCATCATGGACAAAGCATATTTAAAATATGTTCATTTGGCAATGAAAATGATAACTTTAGCCGAACTTATGAGAATCTCTTCCGATTTCAATGATATTTTTGCCTACAGATACCTACATAATGTTCTAATAAAAACTCTAAAACGTTTTCAGAAAGTTTTGAATTTTGATATTTAAAACTTTGCGCATATAGATAACTCAATTAGATTAACTTCCTTTAAAAAAATTCATGTTGTATATACTATCCATAGAAAAAGATCTATATCTTGAATAGACTTTGTTCAAAACTTCTGCATTTTTTTCTTTGAGAAAGCTAGTCTGATTGACTTTTCTATATATGCCCAAAGTTTCAGAACAAAATTCAAATTAGACATATTAAAAATTCTATATCCTATTGAATGATATTTTAATTGAATAAACTTACTGTAAGAACACCACTGAAACTAGTGACTTCAATATCGGCACCAACTTCATCTTCAGAAAATTTTTCGAATAATTTCTTGACGAATGGAATATTAGCAAACATTTGAAAATATTTGTTCATTGCTAAATTAGTTAATGCAAGGCCAAGTTTTCGTGTTACTGCCCTGAAAAGAAAAAAAAAACGATTTTCTTTTTGTCATGTTTTATTTGAAATATAAATATATCTACTTACATTTCAGGTATTTCAGGTTCTTTAGCTAAAAGTTTTTGTCTTTGAATTAAATCATCTTCATCAATACGTTCATCATCTTTATGTACAAGCTGAGCTGTATGATGTTGAGCAAATATTGGTTTATCTTTTTTAGGATTATAATTAATTAATTTTTGAAGTAAAACACGTGTTTTTACTGATAATCTAAGTATAAAAATATTTATTTAAATAAATGAAATTTTTGATAATTAAAAATATTTACTTAAAGCTTCCACGATAATAAACAAATAAATTAAACCAAATTCCTTGAGTATTCCATTGCATTGGTTCAACTTTTAATATAAGAGGAAATGTATTTCCTAAATCAATTGATACAACACGAAGATTTTCAAGAATAGATACCTTTTTATATACAAATAAATATAAAAATCAAAAGATATTTCTGTTTTTCGTTAGCACTTACAGCAATTTCTTTTAATTTCATTTCAACTTTATTTTTAAGTAAATCTTTAAAAACTGGAACATCGAACATATCACATAATATTCTTCGAGCCATAAAATTAATTGTTATAGCTGCTTCATCTAAACATTCAGGTGATTGAAGAACTTTTTGTAAACTAGCTTCATTTGGTGTTATTTTATTGGATTTTTTTGCTGCTGTTCGATGAGTTCCACTTGCATCAAGTTCATCATTTTCTGGTTCTACTATCTAAATATAATTCATATTGAAGAAAAACAAAAAAATTTTAATCTATTCTAATATGAGAACATTAACTTTAAACAAAAAAAAATTACAAATTGAGAAATTAATATCGGTTTTCTTTTCTTTTCTGAAAGAACTCGAATAATTCAGACTTCCTCACAAACTATGATAATTGAGATAGATGTATATGAAGATAGCCTGAGGTCTGATTTTTCATAAATGACACGAGTTTTTTTTTTTTGCAAAAATGTCCATCATTTTCTGCTTGAAAACTATGGATTTTTTCAGATAAAACAGATAAGCACTATTCTCTGTTTATGTTTTTTTGATCGCGTATCCCAAAATTCTCTAAAGAGCTTCATTGTAGCCAATTTTTTCATTTGAAAGAGTATGTCAAGATGCAAAGCATGACAAAACCTCTTTATAGTGGGAGCGCCATTTTTCGACATATTGAAGTTTTCTCCTCCGTAAATAGTAAGAATTTAAAAAAAGATCTCCCTCATGCCCTACATCCTGACATACTCTTTCAAAAAGAAATTAAGTATTTAGAACTTTGAGTTGCCAAATGAACTATTTTTTACTCTTGTTTGTTGAATATCTTGCGAAAACATTATGATATAGAGCTGCAAATTGTACTATGGCCTCTTCACTACAACCACAACATATTCTTAGAATTTCATGAATTGAATGTAAATGGATTAAGACCGATTTTTGAATAGAAAGTCTTAGGAAATTAGTTCCAGAGAACTCTGGGTTCATATTTTAATATATCTGGAATGAATCTGTAGATCCGATGGTAGAAACAGTGGACTTATAAAGTAAATTAGTTCTTTTTGTAATCCCAAGAGTTGCTGATAAAACCTTTATATTTAGAAAAGCAATTGTCTCTTCATATGAGTTTTTCTATTGTCGGCCTACTCATCATTGGATTTGCTTAAGAGGATAACAGCTCTTTTAATAATATTGTTTTTTGAGACATGTGTACTCTCGACAACCTCAAAACAGCATAAATCTTCTATCATATTAATCAGGATAAAGAACAGACAAAATGGTGATTCTCATAATAAAGTAATTACCAAGGCTCACGAAATTCGTTATTTATACTTTGTGTATCCTCTACTAAGACTGGATGATTTGAGAGAAAACTGCTAAATCAATCACAGAAAAATTTTTATCAAAAAAAAAATGGTTTAATAGGGAGCCAAGGTAGATGTTAATAACTCTTCTCAGTAGAAGATACTACAATTCAATGGTCCACACGAATAATTTACAATTAATCTTTAATCAATGGATAGATAATTTCAAATGAGAATTGTCCATGCCGATTTTGATTTTAAAGACAATTATATTTATCTATCCATGCATCCAATTCAATTCTAAATATAACGGCATCCAATGGAAATTACTCTTTCAACAATTGTTTATAAAATTAAATATTAATGAAATATTCTGTGGTGAACATACTTTTGCTTTTTCTTGTAATTCTTCAACACTCATTTGTGTTTCAACTAATGCTGCTTCAATAGTGGATTCTTTAACTGGACTTGATACAAGTTCAATATCTGAATCAGTTTGAGCTAGACGATGACTTAATGATGAAGAATTAGAGACAGTTGATGAAATAGAAATATTGTCTGCTGGAATTAGATTATTAGTTCGTTCAATATCTTCTTTTCCATAACGTAAAACTAAAGATAATCTAAATAAAGATAAAAATTAAAAAACAAAACAAAATAAGTATTTATCTTATATAAATTTACTTATGAAACCATTCTTCTTTTTGTGGACTAGTTTCAAACCAAATCGAAAGAGTTGTTGCTGTATTTGTAAAAAAATCATTTGTATCAAGTTTAGATTTTTCAAATTGTTGTTTATTATAAATTTGTTTATCAAGAATTTGTAAATTTTGTATAACTATTGGATATTCATTCATCCAATATTTAGCACGTGTTAATGTTGCTTCAGGTACAAGAATCAATCGAGCTTCTAAAAGATTACAAAAAAAAAAAAATGAAAAAGCCAAAAACAAACAAACCAATTAAATATATTTCATACCTTTGATTAAATATTCTCGATAACCAATAAATTTAATGTCTTTATCAAGTTTTTTGTCTTCATTCCAAGGTTTACTTGCAAGTTGAATTATAAGACGATAACCATCAAGACGAATATCACATGGATAACGCATAAAATCATCATCATTATCAGCATCATAACATTGAAATGCAATTGAAGCACCCGTTTCCTTAAATTATCACAATCATATGATTATTCGATACAATAATAAAAAACAATGATACTATGTTTTTCAATAATGATAATGTTAATTAATAAAAACTATTAGCACAATTTCTACGGAGTTAAAATGTGATAGACGATTTAGTTACTATTGCTAATCATAGGGAGATTATTGTTGTATTCTACCTATTTTGGAATACATTTCTTTATCATCCTTTCACTTAGATCTACAACAATTAGTTGCAGTGCAGAAAATAATCTATTCAAGGACAAGATACATTAGATATGAGTATAAAGATAAATGTTTAGTAGATTCTTCTAATTTAGCATTGAAATCTTACCCGAAAGTAAATAGTAGTTACTTTAAAAATTTTCCATAATCCTCTATAATTTTTCTTTGTTTTAAAGCTTCTGTCTGCTGTGATTTTCTCTAATCGATAATGAATGTCAACATTCAGTTATCTTTTCATATCCTAATAAAGTCCGTCGAGTTAGTCCCGGACACGATCAGATTCGGGTTCGAAAATTTTGGATCCAACGGGTTCTACATGCAACTCTCATCCTCGCGCGGTGTTGTATGTGATTAAATCACATGCCTACAAATTGAGATTTGTAGGAAGTGAAATAGGAACCATGCTTCTGTTATGCATGTGACCAATTAATATCGCCCAACTGTCACTTTCTTCTTTTACTTAATCCTTCATAGATGCATTAGGGAAGTAATTCATATATTATAATGAAACGTTATTGATATATGGTTTGTGTTCATATAGCAACAATGTCTGTCACAATCTGTCATGAGCCGAATTCATACTTCAACACTTCTTTTAGATTGTATTTCACAAGAAATAAAATAATGCTTAGAAACTTAAAGAAATTTTCTGTAAATTCAAGAGCAAAAAAAAATTAAACTAACTTTTATATTAGTATTTTTATCTTCTTTGTCACATTTTTCAAGTACAGATTCAAGAGCAGGAAAATCAATCCATTCTTCAATAGCACTTTGTTCTATTTTTGTATTGATAAAAATTCGAATCCATATATAAAATAATGTAGCAGCAAATAGAATGCCAACTATTAAACCAGAAAAATATGATGATATTGGTTTCCATAATGTAAAAATCAAAGAAATGACACCAACAATCATCTATATTAAAAATTATATCATCATATTTAATATAGTTACTATAATTTATAATACTCACTGCACTTGAAAAAATTGTATCAGTACTTATAGGTAAGTTTTCTTTGGGAATTTCATGAAAATTTAATCGAAATTTAGGTCCAGATAATAATATAGCAGATCTTCGTGCACGATCTGTAGGTACGGTAACTACAGTAGGTTTTGCAGTCATTTCAACAGGATCAACTTTAATAATAACACGTTGTTTTACAGTATCATCTTGCTCACTAGAAGTTTCCTGATTTAATGATATATCATCGATAGTTTCAAATTCTTGTTCCAAATTTGAAGATGTTCTCAATTGTTGAGGAGAAGAATTAACTAAAGATGTTGAACTTGATATTGAACTAGTAGATGCATTTGATGGATTAATAGCACTTGGTCTGATACCACCAAAACCCATGTTTAATGCTAATTGATCAATTGAATGACGAGGTGGATCTGGAATTAATACACCACTTGATGACGCAATAGATGTTGTTGATGGAACAGAATCTAACGATTCGGTATCCATTACTAGAATAATAAAATAAAGATAATTACAAAAAATGGATTGAACTTGTTAGTTTAGATGTAGTCTTTATAATTCATTCTGAACAACAATATTTAATACTAATTTTATAAAAATAAACAATATATTTCTAAACTCGAAAATTTTGTTAGTATTATTATAATACTTAAAATGAAATTATTCGACTTGAGATTAATCTATATTTATTTTAATTATACAAGACATATTCGATATTTGACCGTGAACAAATCTAATTAGCATAATTAAAGTTATCTTCATCGACAACTGTTGACATCTATAGAAAATCATCTTCTTTCATTAAATATGCTACATAATGATTTAAATTAGTCGATTTTGATTCATAAAAAATGTTGTGTTCTTTTAAAAAAAAACGTTTTTTTTTTTACCAAAGTTCACCGAGTACGAAGTCAGTACAATGGAGTTCAACACTATAACCTACCATAATCGTTTAATGTTTGTCGTGTTTCGATTGTTGTCGAAGATATATCATCTGGTAAATTAAAATTAACATTATTAAAATTTGCTGAAGTATTATCAATAGACATTGAATTATGACGATTTGATGATGTTGAATGAGTTCGTTCTCTAACAATTTCAGTTATATCTTCTTTAAGTGCTGAAATTTTGTTTGAAATTTTTTCTAACACATTATGTGATGATTTATGATGGTGATGATGATTGCTACCATCCATTTTTTTTTGTAGGTACAGCTGATACTTTTAGTAGAAAGAGATCGATAATAAGAAAAGCGAATCTTTTTTTCTACGTTTTATGTATATTGTGTTTCTATCATAGATTGTTGTTGACTGGAAAGAACAGCAAAGAAGACGATAGAACGAAAGAAAAAAAAAAAGAAGAGAACTATATGTCGACAAGTAGAATTGGAGAAACAAACTAACACAAGGAATAGAAAGAATGAAGAAAAAAAAAATATATCGACGTCGTTAGAATGAGAGCAATAAGTAAAAAGGGTGAAACAGAACTAGAATAAATAACTATTTGATAAAAGTGACGCGGATGCTCGAGGCACACGGGAGAAAAAAAAAATATTGCAAAAAACAGTGTCAACGAGTATATAACACATACGTGTTGTAGCACGTTGATCGTTATGTAAGAACCATAGGTAGAAAAAAAAACAAAAACACATATTAAAATATAAAGATTGACAATAATCAAGTGTTGTTTCATCTATAAAACTTTGGATCATGGCTTCGAAAATAGTGGCACATATTAAGTCAAACGTGAATGATAGGAATTTTACTTCAGATCAATGTATAAAGTTTTTAGACAAAGTATTTATTTACATTTGATCTGTTAGAAATTACTTCCGACGAGTCAAATGTTATAAGTTAGAACTAGAATTTTAAGTTCTTTTTAAATATACCTTTGAAATTTTGTCTCAGTTTTTGTTCACAAGTCGTGAAATAATCTGTAAAAAGTTCGAAAGATTAGTTTGGATGGAAAATTTTTTCTGCACTTTTTTTTTAATTTTCATTATTGTACGATTCGAAATTAAAAGTTAGGATCTTTATTTATATATCAGCTTGTAGATTAGTAGCTACCCTATAAAATGCAATATTTTAACTTTCTTTTTGTCTTTCGTCAAGGTACTTCAATTTTCTTTTTTTTTAAGTACTTACTTTTGAAAAATCGACAACCGTTTTACGTTGAAAGGAGCTCTTGAAAAACATGCTTGTAGTTTCATTTGAGTAAAAGTTACAGCCTAGTTCAATATTACATTTTTGTAGAGAAGTATCCATTCTACAAAACACTCGACTCTGATGATTTTTAGCATGTTCGAATAGGGACTTATAGAGTAAACAAAAATCTGTTGACTCATCAATAAAAATAATTTTTTTCAGGCTTTTCAGAAAGTTCTCCACTGCGCTTGAACAAAAATAGACACAACATTTTCGAAGTTCGTATTCGAAAAAAAAAAGCAGAAACGTTTTTACCTTGTCTAAAATGCTTTCAAACAGGTCAAAATGAACAAACATATTCATGGGAAAGGTCGGTCTACAAGTTTCATGCAAATTAATTTTTTTGACTCTTCGAAAGTTATTTCACTACTTTCAAATAAAAACTGAGACAAATGGAGGGAGATCATTAAACAATGAAATTGGCTTCCTCTTGAAATTAAACTAGGAGAATTCTGAACTACAGATAAATAAATAATGAAAACGATGTTTTGATTAACTTAATTTTGTGATATAACCCTGAGGAAATCTGAGCTACATTTTTGGATGAAAATAAAACTCATCGGAGAATTTTATGACACATATAGATCGACTCAGCTTTTTGTCCTGATTCCAGATATATCATTTGTTTTGATGGAAAGCCAAATTATTCTGACTAAAGTCTCTTGACGACAAATTAAGTTCAACACAATAGCATCATTTTGTGGAACATTGGAAAGTCAATCGAATGATATATAATTCAAAATGAATCGATGTTTTCACAGCTCAATAGCGAGAAATTTTTGTCATAAGTGTCAACATATTGTACATACGAGCGAACATTGTCATCTAAAAGAAAAAAAAAAGAACAATATTTTTGCCATACTCCTATATGCCATTCGATAGAAGAAAGAGGTTTCATTCAATACATTAGTCATATTGAAAGAGTTGATGATAAGAGAAAAGCTCCTCATAGAAACATTGCGTAGCATAAAGTTATTACGTATAGATAATACTGAATTTTGAGTCAACTGCATGCAGTCAGAATGAGGTCTAATCGTCTAATTCGAACGGTAATTGACTTCTGACATTCGAATTGACTGTTGGAGAAATAATAAATTCAATTTTGACTGAAGACCTATACCATCACCTAAAGATCCCTCCTTTCTAAGCTCCTATTCGAGAAGAACATAACATTTTGGTCCTCACTCATAGCTTTTGAGTCGTTGGAAATATTGTATAGCGGATCAGAAGTGAACAAACATTTTGTCTAAAAATTTTTCGATCATCCTTTAGATAGAGAAACATCAAATAAGTAGTTATTTGATGTATTGTTGAAATTAAGTAAGAACGAAACATTCTTGGGTGTGAGTATCTAAATTATATGTTAATCAAAGTACGAGTATCTCGTTTTAAACATTCCAAGAAAGTCTACTGCTGATAACCATCTAATTAAGTTGAATACAATTCTTTGCATCATCATGGTCTTTGGATTCCTGAAAAGACAAATTAGATCACTTGTCTCATCCAAGTTTGGTTCAAATATTGAGCATTCAGACAAACAGATACATTGTTAATCTATGTCCAAAACTTAAGTATTAACGTACGAATTTGAACATGATAAGATAAAAAAAATGTTAATTTCAAATTAATCCAAAAAAAAATTCTTGTTTTAGTCATTTAACAGAATTTGCGAAGTGGGCACATGTCAATCGTAGATCAAATCAGATATACTCAATGAATTTCTAATTGCAAGAAATGGAATTTTGAAAGTAAAGTCATAGTGAAAATCAAGAAGTTTATTACTTGATCACTGATAGTCTAGTATTAATTCTTCAAAGTTTTCAATTTATGATAATCGAATGCAAGAAATTACTGATACTGACGACTAACTCATCTAATTCGTTACAAGTGACTCAAGTCTTTTTTTTAAATTCAAATCGTAATAATCGATTTTTTTCAATTAATCTATTCGGATTTGTCGGTTACTATCACGTTAAACTATTCAGTTTATTACAAACCTCGACTCGTATCAATAAGAATAAATACTTGTTTTATTGCATTATTTTCTTGTGATAGTAAATTTAGTTGCTTAGATTAAATTGGATCAGCTAAAAAAATCGAATAAGTCATATTCTATTTGTATCAGTTCAAACTCATCAATGATATGATTTTTCAATAGGAAAAAAATTTACTTGATACTTCTCTATATTCTCATGGACTTCGATGTAATTTTTTTTTCTATGCTTTTCCAAAAAATTTGACGTGCATCACAATGAAAGAATACATAGTAATTAAACACAACAATAAAGAAATGCCAAATTCCTCTTTAATTAGTATTTTCGGGTCTCGCACCTATAAAAAGATAATAACTTGTATATGAACAGCTCTACACATATATTGCATGTTTCGACGTACTCGTATTAACAATGTTGAATAAAATGAAACCTTTACGAAAAATATATGTAAAGTATGGATAAAAAAAATAATAGAAGCCTTGTACAAATATATCTAAATAGTTAGTTATGACTCATTTTATATTTGAAATCCTTAGAATTTTATTTGACTGGTTGGATGAAATTCTTAACTTAGTTGCCGAAAATCGACTTGTTTAATATCTTAATTAACGACTTAGTTCTTTCGAAAACAAAGTTTATTACTAGTATTTCACGAAGACATACAGTGTGAAATTCATATATATCTTGAAGGTTTTAATAGTAATAAGTCTTATATTAATCTGTCACGTTCCATATACACTAATACTAAGAATGAGAGAAGAACTTTTTCAAAAATGTTCATCTAGAAATTTATAACATCTGATGTTGAACAACATCTATATTTTGTTTGTTTGACTTTCTCCAGTAAAAATATGATTTCTTTACAAGACTTGATAAATTTAATCTATTTTAATTTGAAATCATTACTTAACACAATTGAAAGATTTCTCAATTCATAAAAGAATACTACTGCTCATAGAAGTTCGAAAATATGGTTTCATACTATACTTCATATATATTTAGATTTATGAATATCTCGATATTTTCACAGTTGTATGCTGTTAGTGATTGATATAATTTTCCCAATAGGACAGAATATTTTTGTATCGAAAGGATGAACTTGACACTACTAGCCATTGAACGTTTCTAACAGTTAATTAAAAATAGTCCAAAAAAGTGAGTTCGAAATTTCGAGGTGAAAAACGTTTACTTTAGACAACACCCAACTTCTGATGGTTGGATAACTTTTCATGGTCATAATAAATTGATTCAGCATTACCGAATCCCTTATCGTACGATGAGAAAGCGTGAGCTCAATGTTTAAAGCTGGAAGTTTGATGATGACTAGAACGTCGCCAGTTGGAGAACTTCATATTCATACTTCTGAACCGTGAAAATCGTGGTAATCGATAAAAAAACGAACAACACAGACTAACTTCAGTGCCTAAAAAAATTGATGAAAAAAACTGGTGAAAACCAATCGGTTTTATAAGTTCAACCGGACCGGATTGGCACATCGGCCGGTCTAATTCTGAGAGTTTAATACTATTTTGTTGATATTCACAGTTATAGAATATTTTTAATCGTATTCACATTGAATTCTTCCACGATTGAGTAACAAGAAGACGTGCAATGAAATATAATAGACTCAATAAGAAAATTTAAAATAAGTAAAAGATTGGTTTCTTCATACTGCATCAGATCGTTTTAAAATATTACTAATTTAAAAAAAATTTGATTAAATTTTAACAATGCTTCTTTGTATATTTAAGTCATATTATATTTTTTTTAAATTAAATACGTTTTTTTTGCTACTTCATTCATTTATTCTGATTAGATGCTTTATATGAATTTTCAGGAAGTTCATTTGAATTTCCGGACACCCCTCTTGTTTCCTGTTTATCAAGATATAGGAGGTATAAGAAAGTATAGAGATTGATTTTTTCAAGCAAGGTTTAGCAAGTGACAGCAACGAGCAAGGTTTGGCAAGTGGCAGCAATATATATTTTATGAATAGATATTTAACTTTAAACAGCATTGAATGATCAGCTGTACCAATTAATCAATATCTCCAATATCTTCTATACCTTCTTATACCTCCTATACCTCCTATACGTTCTATATCTTGATTAATAGGAAACAAAAGGAGTGTCCGGAAATTCAAATGAATTTCCTGAAAATTCAAATAAAGCATCATATGTTTACTCCATTAATTATGTGACACCCAAAATGTTCATTTGAAATAAAACAGAAGAGGATATTATTTATAGCTTCATTATCTGATATATTATTCTTATATAGCCATTGCATTAGATTTCATTATCCTGACACTGACAGTGGTATTCATTGTGGATATCTGTGTGATAATCAACAATCTTATCCAAATAGAATGTTTATTTTAAAACTATTCATTTTATCCGGTTGAAATTCACATGATCATTTCACTGATCGATATTTTCTTTGACTCGAAATTAATGCAATAAATTTTAAAAAAAAGATGTGTATATTCTTAAACGTCTTCTTCTTTTAAGTATATCATTATTGCTTAGTTTCGTGAAATTTATAATACCGCCTAGAATCTATCAAATACTATATTCTTATGAGTGAATTATGAACTAGATTTTTCCCTGATCAAAATAAACCGAATGCTCCTTTTTTTTTTATATGTATTATTCATACAACAGAAGTTAACTTCTGTTATATGAATAATGAATGCAAACAAAAGAAGTATTCTGTTTATTTTGATTAGGGAAATATATTTATGTTGCCATCAGGATCTTAACAGTAGTGTATTAGCTTGGTTTTTGCTTACGTATGAATTATTTTCTTTTCTATGGTCGATTTTTGTAACCATAATCATTTGTTGTACGAGGGAAAGGAAACAAAAGTTTTCAAGACATTTTATCTCTACCTTTCTTAAATATTTCGATATATTTATTCAAAAATTTTATACAAACATAGTTCATATTTGTATAGACAATATGTTAATAAAATTTATATGACAAATTTATATAAGAGTATTCGATTAGAAATTAATTAGATTCGTGAGTAAATGATCAAATAAAAAGAAATATTATCTTATAGAAATTATTCATATAAAAATTGAATTATAATTTATGAAAATATGGACTGAAAATTGTCTTATATAAAAATGTCACGTTCGATTTTGTTTTTCATAAAAGAATGTTAATGGTATAATGACCATGACTTTTGTTATTTAATCAAATTAAGTGGAAGACGGCTATACGGTATTGATGAAATTTTGTTTAACACTAACAGATGTCATGTCAACTTCTTAAGTCAAAACATGTATATGTTTTATGACATTTAGCCTGTATTATATAATTAAACACTAGATCAATAATAGTATGCCAAAAATGCTGCTTAAGTATTAGTATTGAAATAACTTGTATGATGTATATTATTTATAGAGCCAATTATAACTCATTAATTTTGTATGAATATACAAAAAAAAAGAGATTTTCCATTGAAATTTATGAGGAAAGAAAGATAAAATCTAACTAATTTGAAGTAATATTTATAAATATAGGTGATAGAAACTTTTCTTTTGAATTAATCATTACAAAAGTTTCTTCAATAAAAATTCTATAAGTTGAAGATAAAAATAATACTTATTCTTTAAGAGCACGCATCTTAAGGCCTCCCTCAAAAAATTCACTTTTCGCCAGAATCATCAAAATTGAGATAAATTCATGGGGAAATAGCTCTTCATCTGCTCTCTCATACGCGTCAAAAATTTTCATTTGACACCTTTCTTTTTTCAAGAATTTTTGAAGACTTTCCTTACTCCTTCTATTCGAAAAACACGCCGTTTTTACAAATAGCCGAAAATCATTTTTCGTTTTTCTCAGAAAGTGAGTTTGATGGTGTATTTTCAGCGGCATTCTACCACAACGTGACATAAAGTCAAATATTATTTTTTGCTTGAAAGAGCATGTAAAATTATAGTGTCTATGAGAGCCAGTTTTTTTATTAAGCTTTGCTTTTATTATATATATGAACATTCATATAATTAGAGCGCCATTTTTTTGAAGATTTTTTTTGATTCATTGAACTTTCGATTCATTTTTTTTCCTCAAAAAGTAAGAGTTTAAAAAAGGGCTCTCATAAGCATTGCATTTTGACATGCTCTTTCAAATAAAAAAAAAATTAAATGTATAGACTGAAGATCGCAGAGAATTTTTGGAGACGAAATTAGCTATTATTTCACCTTTGTTTGGCCAATATCTCCGTCAAACGTCATGGTACAAAGCTGAAAATTTTACCATAGCAATTCCACACCAGCTCCAATATATCCTGAAAATTTCATTCCATTCGAATGTTCCTGACCTGAGATCGATTTTTGAGGGAGCGGCCTTAAATTCGTATATTTTCATATAAAATTATCGTTTCTTTTTGTATTGGAAAATATTTGTTTATAAGCTGTTTTTCTGTAATGCATAAATTTATTCAACTGTTTCAAATATAAAATATAAGCTAATTTTATTATGATTTTCTTAATTATACTTAATTTGTCAGCACATAGATGATGCATATTATGTTGAAAAAAATGAATTTATCCACAGGGATTAACATTTAGAATTATTCTAATAGGCATTAATGTAGGCGTTGTGACTCTATTGCTTCTCAATATTAATAAAAGAAAAACATCGTCAAGAAATTCCAATGTGAGTCAAAAATAGAACATATTTGTATTTTTGAAATATTTTCTTAATAGTGACAGTTAAAACGAATTGAAATATAGCTTTGAATAGTTGAAAGGATCTACTAGTAGATTCCATTAAAATTTTTATAGAACATCAAGAATCTCTTGAATCAGCGAGTTAAATTCGATCAAAAACGTTTTGAAAGTTACATCAGTTGATAGAACAAAGATTTTAAAGCAAAATGAAACATTCTCGAGTACTCCACGATCTTTCTTTATTAAATTATATTCAATTTACGAACTACCCCAAAGGCAGTTTTAAAGAAACAATTTTCTATACTTTACAGTGCAAAACTACTCATAAATTGAGTGTAGTTTAATGGAAAAAAAGATCGTAGAGTACTCGAGAATGTTTTATTTTATTTAAAAATCTTTATCCTATCAATTGACGTAATTTTCAAAATGTTTTCAATCGAATTTACGACACTAGTTTTGTGAAAGCTTAATTTTTAGGGGAATATTATTTCGTAAAAATTTCAATCGAATCTGAAGAAACTCAATTTTCTCTATGTAAAATATCTCTCAATGTTTTCTAATTATTTCAATTTCACAAAGACCAGAATATAACGAGTATAAACTAGAATACGTCGACATTTATTTTTACATATATCTTAATTTAAGAGCATACATGGCGTACTTATGCCGATTATATAATTATTTTATAACATTTTCATCAAAGTGAATAAATTAGAATGATATTTTATTTATAGAAAAAAAACAAGTTTTTTGTCGACATAAATTAATAGAACGACATCACTTTACTGATCATACTATAAAATAACATCTCATCCTTTCTTTTTGTATTTTTATTAATACAAAACAATAAGAATAAGTTAATTTTTTTTTCAAATTTGAAGAATTCATCAATTAAAATTTACAAAAAATCAATGTCACATAATAGATATTCAACAAATAACTTAATATTATGTTCATTATTTTAATTTTTAAATGAATAATAATTTAAATTTTGAATTACACCATTCGTTGAACGACGATTTGATTTTGATTCTTGTAACCGCATATTATCTTTTGGATAAAATTTATGATTTACTCGACGTTTACTTTCATTTCTATTATATAATTTTTTCCATTTACATCGAAGTATATATATAAGTTCCATACGAAATACTTTTCCACTGGCACAATATAATAGAAAATTTATACAAAAATTAGTTAACATAAATAATTCTGTTAGTTCTTTTATTGATTTTAATGTTGCATTACGAAATCCATGTACATAATTAGCAATCCATACAGCACAATATGGAAAATTTAATAATAAAAATGAACATGATACGAGTAAAAGTGTTATTGTAACACGATTTGCTCGAGATTGTATATAATTTTTAACATATGTTGAGGATCGTTTTACATGTGTTGTATATTTAAATGAGGAATTTGAAACTAAATTTGATTCTATATGTTTTCGAGTTCGATTAGGCCAAATACTACTATTAATCTATTTGAAAAAAAAAAGAATACATTAATAGTTAACAGATAGCTTTCTGCCAGAGATCGTTTATATCATAGGATTTGACATGTCGCGTCTGGTTTTTTTTTCGTATACAAACTATTTTGTAAAACAATAGACTAGATTGATATCTTCTTCATACATTAATCATTACGTAAGTTAAGTTATCAAACGAGATACATCGTACAAATGTTTCTTATGAATTATTATGGAATAGTTTTACTAGACATATACATATATAAACATAAATATGATAAAAAATAACATTAGTATTTGATGAATATATACAAAATAAGCAATTTATTCTGAGTCTACTCCATAATAAAGATTTTAAAGCAAAAGAAAAAACAATACTATTCTATATTGGTATATTCTTACTTTGATATTCAGAAAAAAAATTGTAATTAAGCGTCTTTTTTTTTTTATTCATGAAAGTTTAAAATAAAAATTCTATTTATAAAGATTAACATCAAAAATGCAAATGTGTTAATGAGTTCTTTTTGCTTAAAATATTTTAACTGACACTTAAAAAAACAAATATTTACCTGTGTTATATTTCCTTCCGATGTTGTCAATGATCCAATTGATTGACATTTATCTAATGAAGATAATCCTTGACTTTGACATTGTTCGACATGATTTATAGTATTTAATGTAGATTGTGATGGATGCAAATATGATACTGAATCGCATAAATTATTGAAGTGACTAGAATTTTTCATTTTCTGTCTAATTAATAAAAAAAAAAAGAAAAAGAAAAGATTTTATCAAAACAAAAAAGATAAAAAAGATTTAAAAACAAAAGATCTTTTACTTTTGTTCAAATGTTTGATAATTTTCATTTTTTTCTGTTAATAAACTTTTACTCCAAAGTTTAGAACAAATAAGCATATTAACAAAACCAAGTATACACATAGGTAATAAATAAACCATAATCATTGCACTTATAGCAAATCTCATATAGATTGAACGATATTTTGGTAAAATATCACAGATTGTTTCTTCTATTCCAAAATGATTTGATAAATGAATTATTCCATAATGAAATGGAACATTTATATTAATTAAAAGACTAATAATAAATAGAGAAAAAACAACAAAACGTGCCATTTTACGTCGACCTATAATAGCTCGTTTTAATGGATGATATACAACAAGTAGACGTTCAATTGTAAATGCAACAACTATCCATGATGATAATAAACGTACGGTATTTCTTGCGTATTCAACGAAAATACAAATCGTAGGTGAACTATGATCAAGAATATTTATACGTGATTGGTATAATTCATTATGATTACGAAATGTATCTTCAATAAGATTTATACAAAGAAAACAAAGATCAGATATAGCAAGAGATAGAAGATAAAAATGTGATGATTGTCGACGATATCGAGGAGATAAAAATATTAATATAGAAAGAATATTACCAATAATTCCAACAGATGTCAATATAAATGGTCCATATATTGACATATATTGTTCAACAGCGACTAATGTCGATATGCTAGTAATATTGTTGCTTTGATTTGACATTTGTTTTTTTGTTAATCTCAAACAAAAATATACAAAAAAAAAAAATCTATTAGACAATAAATAGATCATTTATAATCGAGTATAATGCCTTAATGATACACGTCATAGCATAAGATATTAACATCATTATATAAAGAATGAAGATCTCTTTTGTCAGTTGATTTAGTATTATACGCATTTTTTTTCTCAAGATCAAAAAAAAAGGAAATGATGGTCCAGTGATTTTTACAACGGTTCTTCTTTTTTTCCTTTTCTTCATCTTTGTTTCTCTTTCTCTCTCTCTCTCTCTCTCTCTCTCTCTTTTTGACATCTCTTCAAGAAACACTACAGCTTTAAATAAAGATCAGAAGCATTCGCCCACATATATGAGTTTTTCTTGTTAAAAAAAAAGACTGCATACAACAAAAAATACTAAAAAAAACATAACGGATAAAACCTCAATTTTATAATAGAATTTAATTTATCAAATAAACATTTACTGATCAATTATAAAACAATTTTGAAAATCAGCTTAAATAAAGAAGCTATGTAAAAAATCATTTAGTTGAATGAGATAAGAATAGATTAAAATGAAGACAACAGAATAACCAGGCAATTTAGTTGACTTTAGTTCACAAAAAATAATTAACTTTTGCATATATATTAAGTTTAATGAGTTGATGGAAAAAAATCGAATATCGTTTTTTTGAGATCATATTTCAATACATGAACTAGTCATCGAACATATGTTCTTTTACTGATAACAGTACTTTTGTATTAGGAAAAACTAAGTAAATAAAATGTTTTTTTGTTCTATTCTTGTCTATTATAAAAAAAATACAATACTTTATTTCTAAGAAGTTCAGATTACAGATTTGATATATATAAAAAGTTATCTATCATGCTACATGAATAAAATAAATATTTTATTCAGTTTGAATGATACTGACAATAAGTCTTTTTTTTTATCAAAATATTTAATCATTGATGCGTTTCTGTGTATTTCTAACAGCAACAATTTATGACAACTATATTACTTACTGAAATACAAACTTGAATAAAAAAAAAAGGAAACACTAGAAAAAGTTATATGAACTCAATATGGCAAAGGTTATTTTTTTATTTTGATATAATGATATTGAAACTTACAAAATCTAATGAGAAAATCCTTAGAAAATTATACCATGAAAATAAAACAAAGATGTATTTTTTTATGTTTCTTTCGAAAATAAGCTAAAGGACAAAAAAGAAGCCTTGAGATCTGTTTTTCTACGAAAAGAAAAGAAAGGCGATCGACAAAAATCCAGGTAATTCATAATTATCATACAGCATGCTTATAGTCGTTACAGACAAAATGAAACACTTCCCTTTATAAAGAATAAAAAGTAATCTACATATTTCATATAAATATATGAATACTTACCTAGTCAGAAATATTGCAATAAACGTAAAGAAAAGAATTTTATATTCTATTATAACCCTACTATTAGTTAAGTATTATGACTAATGAAAAAAACAAGAGCGATATTAATATAATTCATCTGATGAAATAAAAATTTATTGTATCATATAATTTTATTTATTAAAATGTCGATTTGCTTTAATGATAAATGAAGAGATAATGATGATCGCAACCATCCCGACTAACATGATCAACACAAGCGGAAAGAACACTATTGTACTTATTAATCTGAATTGCGGAGAAAAGAGCTCTTTTGACGATCGTTTTCTTCAGGGTAGACATGCAATCTCTTTTATGTTGAGTTAATTATATTAATAAGATTTATTTCATTTTAAATATTAATATTTGTTTTTAATATCTTAATGTAGACAATAAAGATTCATTGATTTTCTATGAATCAATTATGATCTTTTTTTTTTGAAGAATATTCTTGATTTCAATATAGCAAAGCTTATTCTTAAAATGACCAACTAAAAAACATGATATCATATGTACAAAGTTTTCGTTTTTATTTTTAATTAAAAGAAAAGCAATTCTAATAGATAGATAGCTTCATTAAATCATATATATTGTAGAAAGAAAAAAAACTCATATCCAAGGATAACCTGACTGAGAGAGGAGTGTTGAAAGTATGACACTCTCAAAATCAAGAAAACTTATTGTTTTTACTCATTGGAATCGAAAATTTTTCATTAGTTCCTGTAGAAAAAAGAATCTTTACGACCATCCAAGTATTAAATATTTCGAACCAGTTATGCTCATTTTAAAACCTATTATCGACGCTAATCCGGTTAATTTTGTATGTATATATTTCACTGAGAATCGTTTGACAGACACATTAGTAACGTAGGAGACTCGTAAATGTATATGAAGATAAGAATTAATGATCAAGACGTTGTATAGCTATTCTAGTGTTAGAAAAAAAAAAAAGTTTTTTCACTGTAGACAGAAAAATTCTTTTGTTTGGTATTTTTATTAATATAACGATGAATGGTAGTAAGAAAAAGACACTAATCTAGAAAAAAACTCATTACACCACTCGGAAATGAATTCATATGTCAAACTCATGTTAACATATTTTTAGACATAAATTGTATATCTTGACAATGCAATAACATTTCCGTTATATAAATACATACTTGCATTAATAATAGTTATGAGATTCGAGTTATGAATATATTGTATCTGATGTAGAATAGGAAAATTTTGATCTAATGAAAAGGTAAAATATTAGTTATACATTTTTATGGAAAACAGATGATTTGCTGTTTAGATATTTTTCATGATAGTCAAATAAATAATTGATAAGATCACTATAAGTTTTCCCTGTTGATTTTTATCTATTTTAATGATGAAGATATCTGTTAATAAGCTCTGTTACTCTATGATGCATATACTTGTTATCTGGGTTACTAACAAATTCAACGTATCTTTTTTCTTATATAAATAAACAAATATTTGTTCGTCTCGAAGATTAACTTGTAATTTTTCCGAATTTATTAAATATTCTATTTGGTTTCCCTAGCTTTTTTTCTGTTATGCGACACATAAAATTCTAAAATAAGCTTTCTTATCAATCATGAAATAGTTCACATAGACAAAAATTATAATTATAAATGATATGAATTCATAATTTATATATTAACTTTTCTGTGCCATACACAATAAGGCAGAGAAAAACGTTTACTTAAAAAAGCATAATTCGGAATAATATTTCAATATAGCCTATAAAAATAAACTTGCTATTTATGTATCACTGTAGAGAAATAAAAAGTCAAATATGTAATTTGGTTTCTTGTTAATTATATCCTGTCGAGTTGGTGATAGAAAGCTTAAGTGACAAGATAGACAAAAAACTGTATTCCATCAACATATTTAATACTAACATGTCATTGTATTCGTTTCATGAGAAAAAAAAATGAAGACTTGATATAATAAATAAGATGAATATAGTGGGTTTATGTTTGAGCATTTGCTTGTTGAATCCATTGTGAATTGAAGTTTTTCTTTTTCTCCAGAAAATGTAATGGTAACAAGTCATTTATATGTGTTCAACTACAACAAAAAAGAAAATTATTTCTTTTTTTTTTTTGTTTCCGCACATACTTACCGTATTTATATATTGAAGCCTCTATGGATTTTTCAGTATGGTGTAATTCATATAATTAATCTTCTTTTTTTATACATTAATGAAAAAAAATAAAAATAAAACTAACAATCAAAGAATCGATTGAGAAATGTTAATATTGATCATTTTAATTTAGTTATTTGATTATCTTGATCATTTTTTTGGGTTGAATATATTTCGATTAATTAGAGAGAAGAGCAAAGAAAAGGAAAAAAGAATGACGAAAAATATTCTTGATAAGCTTGATGTTTAACGCATATTCATATTTATGATAAGCACTTAAGTAATATATCGTCTGTTTATTATATTATAACGTTTTTTGTATTTTTTTTCTTTATCTATCTGTCAAAACAAGTTGAATAAAAATATTAATGTGATTTCATATGACAAAACATACATTGAATCGTTTTGACAAACTACATGGGAGACATCCTTTTTTTTTGTTTTTTACTGTTCGACTCTTTCATTGGGATCCTGACAGAGACACTGGGGTTCATCTAATATTCAATTGATTAAGATTAAGTCAATTGAAACCAATCTTCATACATATCAGTAATAAATAGAAATGCGATAGCCGTTCTTTATCTTGATGAAAATATGTGCAAATATTTAACGGTACGTCCTGATATTTATTATATTTATTTAGAACATCGATTATGCACACATCTTAAAATATATTCATATTTATTCAGTAATATATATATATATATATATATATATCGGGAATGATACCATCAATATTTTATTAATATTTCAGTCAGTTTTCATCACAGAAACTTGAGATTAGTCTCAATAGATTTTCTGTTCAATATTCTATAGAACTATGTGAAAAAAATATGTGCGACATGTAGTTGTAGGCGATCAGCACTACTTTGAAGCTAAAGGCATTACTTTTCAATGCACGCTTTTAGAAGATTAATTATCTCTCTGCTTCTGCAAAATAAGACCCGCAGCGCCTGCAATTTGATTTTCTCCATGTTTTCCGATGTGCTCTTTTTCACATAACGCAAAACAATTTATCAAGATAAGATACGGAGATTCTAGGGATGTATTCCCTTGAGAATCAAGTATGAACCATGTAACATCTCTTTCTGGCATAGTATATACTAAAAAAAACAGAGGTGGTCAGTACTCTGTTTAGATTAGATCAAAATGATTAAGAAAACATTTCTTTACTTTGTCAGAAAATTGCAACGAAATGTTATATTTTAACTTAACTGTATATTTTTTCACAATCAATCTCATTAGTCGATCGTGGGAAATTGAACATGAAAGAAAAAAAGCGAAAATGTTTTGATCTGGAACGCTTTCTATAAAAAAAATGTTCAACTTTTTCTTCTACCTGATACAACATGACAATCATTACAAAATGGAATATTCGAACGCCTTCTATTCGATCATATAGCGTCGAGAAAATGAAACGGAAAAAATATTCGATGGAAAGTGACGCCTTTTCCGATATAGGAGGACTGACTCCCTTCGCTTTCACAATTAAATGTTATACATACTCTTTTCATATGATTTTGTAGAATATTGAGCGTGGAATCTTTTGAGACTAAGCTCAAGTCTCTATGGCAAAAACTAATCAAAATATTCACAAAATACTGACGGTTTCATTCTGTATGCCGCCCCCCGATATTTATGAATGGGCCGAAAATTCAGGAAAATAATCATAACTCTTAAGTAATTGATCATGGATCCGAAACTCTTTCGATGTTTCTTATCTTAATAGATCCTATGAGTGAGGTATGAAATAGTCAAAACAGCACTCAACATATTGAGCACATCTCTTGTCAGTAATCAAAAAATAGAAAATTTCAATATACATGTGATAGAAATTTGAACAATATATCTACATCACTAGGTCGACTAGATTTCAAGTTTGATTATCATCATTGCTGAATGTATTAACAGTTTTCTTTCTAAGAAAAACCATAAGTTTTAATTCGATGTCAATTCAAAAATACTATCGACATATGATAATTTCATTCATTCTCGCATAAAATTAATAATAAATTCATATCTTCTCATCCTTCAGATACATGACATAGATATTTTAAAATAATAAAACTATTTTCCAGATTTTACTAAAATTCTATTAGATACACTCATAAAGACTGTATAACGCATAACGCAGGTCTCGTAACGACACTACTTTCCTCATTTTTTTTTCCTGACTCTTTAGAAATATTTCTATTTTGTCCCGGTATTTCACGGTCTATTCCCATAGGATTTATGCCAAAACCATTATGAAACTTTCTGTATTATATTTAACCTATTTTGAAGGTTTTTATTTACAAAGTTGCAGAATATTTTCGGCCAAAAAAGAAAAATATAATATTCATATTATATTTATTTCAATTATTTATTGTTTCTCTATCGGTTTTAAGTAATTTTCAATACATTGATGTTTCAAAGCAGCTAGTTTCACTTATGACAAGTGTTATCGGTGTCAGGTAGATCATAGAGAAAGACACTTCTCGCTTTTCATTGATATTTAATGTTTTCATCGTTTTGAACTAAATTTTTTAAATCATCGTACAATTCTGTATAAAGTTATCTATATTATTTAATGAATATTGTCTCTTTTATTTTTAAAACTAAACATGATTTTAGCAAACTATTGAATACAACATTCAAAATTTGTTTTATTTTTTAAATTTATTTTATATATACTTTGTTAAGTTTTAAGATCCTTTCTCGTACAATTCTTAATTCATGGTTTAAAACACGTTATCATTAATTAAACCAATTGCTACGAACTAAGCTGTAATCATGGAAAACTTCTGGAAAATATTTATGTATACGTAATGTCCGAAGAGGTATATGCAAGAGGGAACAGCAAGAGTTTAGTACTTCAAAGGACGGTATAGGACCAGTGAAATATCATATTTTGGACTATTCAAGTCTTACTTTTTCCTCTCTTGGGTATATGACAATTTTGAAAGTTGCATTCAATAGCTTACTAAAAGATTTCTTGAACAAAATAGATCATAATTTCAACGGAACTTCACGATAATTTGAAAAAAAATTTGATTCGAAGCGATACAAGAACTGGAAGGTATCAATGAGAAGCAAAAAGGTGAGGGTAATGTCTATAGTTAAATTTAATATATTGTATGGTTTTTATTGTTGTGAGTGTCCTAGGATATGAGATCATTACACCAGAACTTGAATATGTTTAGTCTTTGCAAAAAAATCAATACTTTAGGAAAAGAATTATTTTCAATGAATATTATTTTATGACTTATGTCTCATCTACAGCTGTATGAATAATAACCAAATCTTTACTGGAGGTTTTCTAGAAAAATAGAAATAAAATCATCTTAAACAATTACCACCTATCAGTAAAAAGAATATTCAGTTACATACTTATCGTTTAGTAGATTAGAAAGATTATTTAACCTATAATTTCACAATGATTCATTGTTAAAAAATGAAGTTTTTATCATCAGTATAGGTTTATACAATCTATCAAAATAATTTTTAAAAAAATCGGAAAAAAATGACGATGCCTATAATTATGATTCGAATTTCTGAAGAGAGAAGGTCTAGATAGTGATCAAGAATATACAAAACATGATTAAAGAAAATGGTACATATACTTACAGTGAATTTTTTTGTATCGTGGATGGTGTTATAATATCAAAACTTCTGACCCAAACTTTAGAAATTCCAGTGTTAGCAAAAAAAAATCATTATTTTTACAACAGATTCACTTTCATATGAAATACTTAAAAAGACAACGGCTAGTATTCCTAGATTCTGACTATCAAATATTGGTTGTTATTAGAAATAAACATAAGTTTTGGAATCAGCATGCAAAAATACATCGGAAACTCTACATTTCATCGCAAAATATATCTGATTACAACTTTCACTCTACTCTCCCTCAGCTTTTTATTCATAATATTCAAAGCTGTACTTCTCTAGGAATAATAATTGACTGGAACTCTTTTCTAATGAAAGATAGAAATATTAGCTGTGAGATCTTAATCCCACTTATATTTTATTACTATAACTATATCTTTCTTCCAATCATTCTTCACGCAACAACGTAACGCTATATATAGACTGATAACAAGCATCGAAACATTCCAAATGGAAAATCCCATAGAAGATGAACATAGGAAGGAAACATCCATAGAACAATACGAAAGAAAGAAAAATAGAACGAAAGAAAAAATTCCAATGTATATGAAAGGAAAAGAAAGATCCATGATGCATGATTAACAATAAGAAAAAAGAAGAAGATAAGTGCATATGTATAGTCCTATAGAAAATAGAAAAAAAATTCTTATGACTGCAGCTGAAGAAAATGCAGATTATAGCATTAGCCTTTTTTTTATTTTTTTAAGTGAAAATGATCCTGTTCTAAAACTAATGAGTTTTTTTTGCTAACACCGAAAATGTCAAATGTCTAGCTATATTATCTCATATTGTCACAATACTCATAACTAAAAAAAAAAGTTAAACACAAAAAAAAGTAACGAGGTGTATAACTCTTGAAAGAAAAACGTCATTTCCTTTTTAAGAACTATCATTTGGACATAGATGTAGCGTGAGTAACTGTTGGAGGATCAAATATCATGAATTCATCGTTACTCTATCCACTTATGTGCAGACTCACACTGAAATAATAAAATAGCTTTAATAATATCCTGTTTCTTTGTTGAGATTCCTAATCCTTCATAGGAGAGTGTCTTACTTATTTTCCTGATTTCAACACAAAGGTTGCTGCGACCTCTGATTATACTTTTTAGATGACTCTTAATCTAGCCATGAATTTTATCATAGATCTACGTCAATTTAAATGAATGCAGAAAGCTCTTTCATTAATTAACAAAAAAAAGAGGATAAAAAATATCTTCTCCTTATTTTAATAAAGCACAAGATTTGCTTAAAACAATCAGTCCAACGATCAACAGTTACACGATTATATTTACTATTGTTATAAACATTCATCGTTCATCTCACAAATCTTTTGTATATTTTCTAATATTTTATCTTTGAATATGTTAAAACACACATAATAAAAAAGAAAAATTATTTTGTTTTCTTTTTTTTAACACATGAATCATTTCATAGAACTGCTGAAAGTTATTTGTTTTATTTGTATGCTTTCTATCTATGTACAAGATTTGAATACATTCATTTGAAAAAGAAAAAAGAGATAACAACGGGTTTGGACGTATTATGTTCGTATATGGTTCGTTGTACAACAAGAGTAACAAAGAAATGACTGTTCTTTAATAAAAGGAAGAAATCTATTTGTTTTGTTTTTGTTATCAGTTTGATGATGAAGCTAATGATGCAGACATTTTTAATTTTGGTTTAGCTGTTAAACCATCGAAACGTTTATATGTATAATTTATAAAAAGCCAATCATGAACTTGAACTTCAGTATCTTTTGCTGGCGAAGCTAAAATTATAAAATATGTTTAAATTATTATTCATTTTACTTGATATTAAATATCATTTCTAAATTTTTGTTTCGAAACAGAAAACAAATATTAAACTGTAATAATTTCTGCATTTGAAAAAAGAAACTGAGTAGATTTCTTCGATAAACTTGTTTACATACGTAATTTAAGATCAACATCAGGAAAATCATCAAAATTAGATGTATCATCAATTGATTTAACACGTGGTTGATAAGCAGCTGGTCGATCTCGTATATGATCCCAATCAACACCCAAAAAAAATGGATGATTTCGAATTTCATCTAATGAACCTAAACGTCGATCAGCATCCGTACAAAATCTAATTAAATTATTTAAATTAAAATTTTATTAAAACATTTTAAAATTATAAATACCTAAGTATAAGATCTTTAGCAACATTTGATATGGGTAATTCAGGTGGAAAAATAAGTGTTTCACGATAATTCATTACTTTACGAAAGGTTTCTTGTGGATTTTCAGCACAAAATGGTGGATAACCAATTAACATTTCATACATAATTACACCTAATGACCACCAATCAGCTTTCTAAATTAAAATAAAAATTATCATTTTTTCTTTTTTTTATATCAAATCAATGACAGATATCTAACATTATTATAACCACATTGTTTAAATACTTCTGGTGCAATATAATCTGGTGTACCGACAGTTGAATAAGCCTATTTGAAGAAAAAGTTATGCATAGAAAATAAATAGAGAAAACAAAAAACTACTGACTAAAGCACGACGATTTCTTTTCCATGTTTCAGCTCGTCGTTTGGAATCAACTGGTGTCGCTGCTAGAAATATGGATAAGCAAAACAAACAAAACTAAATCAAACAATATATATATATATATAAATATTTATTACTGAAATCTTGTGGTCGCATGCTTTGAATATCACGATAAAATTCTGTTCGATGTGCTTTTTTCAAACCTGTACATAGACCAAAGTCTGATAATTTTATATGGCCCTAAAAACAAAAAAAAGAATCAAAATAACATTTTTTTTTGTAAATATTTCTTTCTAAATTAAAATCTATATGATTTCAATTCGTTTTACAGTAAAATCTCCCTATACGAACATCTTCGTATTCTCAGCAGTGGGCGATTATTTCTGGTTCTATAAACACTAACAACTTCTGTAATTTGAGCAACATATGTTCTTTCACTCATGTACATAACGACAAAATTAAAAGAAAAAAAACACATATTAGACAATAGCAACAATGATTGGTTTAACATCTCATCGTTTTTGTGTTAATAGCTAGTAACATCAAACCGTGTGCATCACGTGTCTGATTTACCTCTGATTCCTTTTACTAAATCTTCCAGAAACGCAATAAGAAAGTAGTTCATATGTTATAAGGAGACTTTATTGATATATGGTCTGTGTTCAGTCGTTTCTAATGTGCCTACCATCTCTGTGAGGAAATTGAAATTTCTACTTCTATACTTCAACACTCCTATTAAATCATACTTCACAAAAGTTGAATTAATTAATTGTTGAAAAGAAGAAAAAAATTACTTTGCACAACGGAGACAAGTGATTGCAACTGAATACTTATAGATTGCAACAATGAAACTGAAAACCTCCTGATAATGAACACCTGCGTAAAGTGAACACGTTTTGACCAATCTCGATGGTGTCCACATTAGTTAATGAATTTTTCATTTTATTGTCGTGATCTATTTCTTCTATCGAATGAATATTAATCTATGCTATTTATTTTATCAATAATAGAAAATTTACTTTTGCATCAAGTAAAAGATTATCTGGTTTAATATCTCTATGAATAAATCCAAGTCTATGAATTGATTCAATAGCTTCTGCTGTTTCTGCAACATAAAATTGCGTCATATCTTCACTAAATATTTCTTTTTGAATTAATAATGTCATTAAATCACCTAAAAATAGAAAACAAATTTTTGAAAACATATTATAATAAAATAAAAGATGATTTTAACTAACCACCAGGAAGAAATTCCATAATTAAATATAAATTTCGAGCATCTTGAAATGAATAAAACATTTTAACAGTCCATGTATGATCAGCTTCAACAAGTACATCTCGTTCAGCACGTACATGTGCTACTTGTTCACGTAATAACATGTCTTCTTTACGTAAAATTTTCATTGCATATATATGTCCTGTATCACGTTTTTGTACAAGACGAACCTGAATTAAATTTGAAAATGAAAAAAAAAGAACAAAAAATATACATCTTTTTTTTTGTTTATAAGAAATAATTTACTTCTCCAAAAGCACCTCGTCCGATAACTTTTAATGGTTCAAAATCATCTGCACTCATTTTTACACGTTTCAAACGTAAATATTCGGTTTCTTTTGCTGCATGTAAATGACGTTTTTCAAGTTTCTAAAGAAAATACGAATAACAAAAAAAAACAGAATAATTTTAAATTTTAAATTTTAAAAATTTACTTCTTGATCAGATAATCCTTCAGCATTCATTGTTTCTTCCAATCGACGATATCTATTTATTAAAAAATTATAAATTCATTTATCAAAACAACTCAATTTACCTTTCTTCTCTTTCTTCATATTGATTGACTAAATTTGCGTAAAAATTCTCAATAGACATTTTAGCTTTATTAACTTTTTCCTGTGTAATAGGTGTATGTGTTGATGATGTAGCGGCCATCTGAAAACAAAACATACATATACATATTCTTCAAAATTTTATTTAAATATTTTTTGTTTGTTTTTAATTGTTTTTCAAAAAAAAAACAAATGACAATTAATAAACGATAAACATAAAGAATAATTCACTTATTTTATACATTCCCGTTCATTATTTCGTTGACATTCACATTCAGACAAAAGACAACACGTGAAGAAATATTTCATAAAAAAAAAAAACGAGAACGAAAGAAAGAAAATTAGTACATATAGAAACTTTGTCATGAAGAAGCTTTTTGTATTTAAGGAATGAATATATCTGGCGAAAGAACAAAAACATCAAGACTATACTTAGAGGTAGATTGCGCACTAGAAAACAAAAAAAAGATTTTTGATCCAATCGGTCTATAAAATATCTGTGAGGACATTCACTTGTTAGTTTTGTTTTTTTTTTCTTTTGCATAATAACAATCATTCTAAATTAGTGGAAGGAAAATTACATCCTGAGAAAGAAAAACAAAAAAAAAAAAACTCGAAATTTTATTATGGAATTAATTTTGGCTATGATATTGTGGACCAGCTGAAGTTGTATAATCATCAAAGAATAAATGTAAATGCTAAAGAAAAAGTAAAATTAATTTTAAATTAAATTTAAATAAATTCTTTTACTTCAAATGTCGGTCGATTATCAGGAGATGAATCCCAACAACGTAACATATAATCATAAATTTTTTCTGGACAATTTTCATGACGAGGCATTCGATAACCACGCTGAATTTGATCAAGAACTTCTCGATTAGCCATACCTATATTGAAAAAAAAATATTAACATTTTTTTGTTAATGATAATTATTATTATTTTATGTTCTCACCTGGATATGGTACTTGACCATATGTAATAAGTTCATAGAGTAAGATACCATATGACCATACATCTGATTTAATTGTAAATTTACCATAAATAGCTGCTTCTGGAGCTGTCCATTTTATTGGAAATTTTGCTCCTAAATATTATAAATTTAAATAGAAAAGAATAATAATATCATACAAACCAGCTCGAGCTACATATTGATCTTCATTAATAATACGAGCTAAACCAAAATCAGCAATTTTAACAACACCATTCTCTCCAACAAGAACATTTCGAGCAGCTAAATCACGATGAATCTAATTATAATTGAAATATTTAAATAAATTCACAAGAAATATTTCTATAACTTACATAATGTTCATGTTCTAAATAAGCCATTCCAAAAGCAATCTAAAACAAAGATACGAAATAAAAATTCGATCAATAATTATGATTCAACAATGTTTAATTCTATTAATAATCTTTCAGAGTCTTAGTTATAAAAATTCAATTATTTTCTTAGTGTGAAGCTGGAAAATTTCAAATAGTCATTTTACATTTGATCTTATCTTTTGTCTCGAACGTCACTATCAATAAGAAAACAAAACTTTTAAACTGGTAATGATCCAAATATATTTTTCTTAAATTGTTCTTAGATTAATAACTACTATAATATTTGATAGATTGAATGGTTCTCTTTTTTGTTGAAATATGGAATATGTAAGAAATTTTGATATGTTACAAAACAATCAAACTCTTTTTTAGCAAATTTACTATCTCAAGATAAAATACCATTATGTGAACAAAGATACATACATGACAAATCTAATGATAAAATATGACTTTAAAAGATCTATAATTTTGTAAAATATTCGTTTATTTCTAATATTTATTTAAAGTATTTAAATCATAAAGAAATATTTCTCTATAAACTCTTTGAAATAATAATATTTTACCTGTGCAGCCATATCAACAAGTGCTGGTAATTTAAGTTCTCGTCCAGATGCATCACGAAGATGATCTAATAAACTTCCATTACACATAAGTTCAGTAACAATATAAATTGGTTGATCTGGTGGTTCTGTACAAACAGCATATAATTGTACAAGTTTATCATGACGTAATTTTTTCATAATATTCGCTTCATCAACAAATGCTTGTGTTGACATTGTACCAGCTTTCATTGTTTTTATTGCAACATCAATTTTATGATTCCATTTTCCAGCCCATACTTCACCTAAAAATTAAAAAATTTCAATCAATAAGAAAACTAAATAAATAAATAAAAAGAAAAAAAGATTTTACCAAACATTCCTTGACCAAGTTTTTTAACAAATTGTAGAGAATCTCTTGGTACCTCCCAAACATCTTTTGATATTGTTGATGTTGGTGGTTTTGGTCTTAGACATGGACGTGTTAATTGACAACAAAGACCATCAGCATTTTCTTGAAAACAAAATTTTTTGTTTGTTTTATTTTTATAAATTCGAAATTTTCATTTTACTTGTATAATATTCAATTAATTCTTCTAGAGAAGTAAACGTACGACGTGCAGCAATATAATAACCAATACTTGGATCATTATAACGAATTTTATAATGTTTTACATGTGAACCACGTTGATCATCATAATCACGAACAGATAAAGAATATGGACCTAAATAAAAACATAAATAACAATTATAAATTCAATTGAAATATAAAATTAACCAGGAGCATTTTCTGAATTTCGAACGAGAAATGTTCCACGTGGATTTATTGGATTTAATAAAAGACGTTCAGCTTCTTTTCGAAGAACATTTTTATGAAACCATCTAGAATACAAAAAAAAACGAATTTATATATATAAATTATTTTTTTTTTGTTTAGTTTAAATTTACTCATTGACATCAAGACCACCATGTGGTGCAACATAAAGAGCTGGAATATATCCTTTTAAACCAGTTTGATAATGTCGAGCAAGCCACCAATCACTTTGACTAATAAAATATTTTCAAACTTATTAAAATAAAACTAATTATTCAAACAAACCTATCATCAATAATAGCTAATAAATCTCCAACACGAAATGTAAGATCTTCATCTGTACGTGCATCATAATCATATATAGCAACATAAATTTTATCAATTCCATATGCAGATTTTTTACGAGTTTTATCAGCACTGGCTAATTTTGATAAAAAAAAATTTAAAACATTTCTTCAAACAAAAAAAGAAGAACTTACAACTTCCAATTTTTCCAGGATTTCGGTCTTTCAAACCATTTATCGGCGGTAATTCTATTGAAATTATTGGTGAATCTGGATTTAATGGATCTCGTTTTGGAAAGCAACAACCCATAACGTTTTTTTATTTTGTCTTTGTCCGAGTCATCTCATCATCTACAAACTAAACATACACCTACATATTCACATTTCGTTAGAGATGGTCAACCCACGCAAACACTCTAAAAGAGAAAAGAAAACAAAAGATCATCTGTTCTCTTCACTCAAGAACATAACTCGACCAACCAAACAGCTAACTATTTTAATTCATCACCATCAAATCTATCTTCAACTATCAAAACAACCAATCAACATTTATGAGACAAAAAAAAAGAGGGCGCTTAAAATTAACTTTGACATATTATTGTGTTTATATTTTCTAAATGTTACATGTAAATTCGACAATTGCGTGTGTTCAAATAAAAATCGAATAACAATTTTGTCATCTGTTATGGTTATGATGAAGAGAGTTCTGAAGAAAAAAAAGAACATCGTAGTATAAATATGAAAGTTTCTATTCGTCTTAATAATATGTGAAGATTTCAAATACCATGATAAACTGAAAATAGAAACTTGACATGTTGAAAAATTTGATATGTTAACATAGTCAAATTGTGATACAGTCAATTTCTTTTCAAATATTTGCGTAAATGACGTTGGATGTTTTATTACTTGTTGATCATAAACTTTTCAAGAAGTCGTCATCTACTTAATAAGAGTAAAAAGGTAGAACAACATAGACGAAAAGTCGATTGTGATCAAGCCAAGCTTTTCCCGAAGTTCATCCAGAGACATGACTAGCTTGTTTCTAGTTTTTTTCTAACGTAAAACAATTGAGTTCATATATGGATCTAGTTGGCATGATTTTATGATGAATGTTGACTCATGATTCTATTGATTCGATGACAATTCTCATCTTGATTTCCGATTTTTCAGATCAGATAGTTCAATAAAGTAACATTCATTGTTAAAAAACTTCATCTATTATCCATAGTTAATTGAAATTTACTGAAATTATATAATTTTATCAAATTTAATTGAACAGAAAACTTATTTCTTTTATTAATTATTTACTTATTCTCCTATTGTAAAAATTCTTAGCAGATATTAAGATGATGCAAAGAGTATTAGGTACAATTTTGTTCTTTTGTTGGTTCGATTTTTTTTGTATTATTATAATATGTCAAGCATACATTAAGACAAACTTTACTTTAAAAGCATAAGGAAGAAGAACGTAACTGTCCTTCATACATGTGTCTGAATGAGTAATAGTCAATAAAAATTTTTATTTGTCAAAAGAAACGAAAACGATGCAATAATATATAGCTCAATATTTGCTAGAGTCAAGTTTTATAATTTTAATTTTTTTTTTCAAATTGATAATGATCATTATTACATTTCCATATCTTTATATAATGTATGGAATAATTATTAGTTTAGTTTATTTAACAATTTTATTAGCTCAATATTATAATTCAGAAAAAATTTTACATTATCTATGTTTATTATGTGCTATTGATGCTCTATATGTACCTATTTTTTTAAAATATCACTCACCTTGGACTGAATTCGCTGATGGATTAGTTAGCATATTTTCAGCAGTAACTGGATTTTTATTTGCTTTAAAAATCCTTGAAATTGCTTTTACATATGAGTGGTCACAACAAAAACAAATAACATTGAAACAGATTATTATAGATTTTTCAACATTTCCAAAATATAAATATGAACCAGAACCATCATCAGTTAAGTAAGATCTTTAAAATTAAATTAAATGAAGTTATATCTATGTAATAGTTTAGATTAAAATCGATTCGTCCGACATTTTTAAATCATATAAATTATCTTATCATTGGTACTGATGATGAACAACTTTCAGCTCGTCGACAAAATATTTTAATTATGTTTCGTGGGTTATTTCAATTGATTTGTTTACATATTCTTCTTCATTTTACACCTTATTCAATACTTCGTCTTCATAGTCGAAATGCAAAATTATTTTCTTTAACTCATTTTCTAATATATACACTTTATGCTTTTATATTTTATTTTGCTCTTGGTATGGTACTTAATATAGTATTTGGTTTAATGGGTTTTATTTGGAATATTCATATACGTTCAGTATATCCAGGTTATCCATTTTTACCAACAAGTCTTCATGATTTTTGGTCACGTCGATGGAATATATATGTTAAATCAATTCTTCATCGTATTGCTTTTATTGCTTTACCAAAATTAACGGGTTTTAATGAAAAATCTAATGCTCGATTTATATCCGCTGGTTTGTTTGCATTTTTTGTCTCGGGTCTTTTACATGAATTTATGTATACAGTATCAATGGATCGATGGTCTGGTGGAAAAAATATGCTTTTTTTTCTTATTAATGGAATGTTCGTTGGAATTGAACTTGTTTTTCAAGGACTTTTAAGACGAAAACAATTAGTTCCACCATATTTTGGTTGGATTTATACAATTGCTGCTTTATATTCAACAGCTCATCTTTTTTGTGATCCATGGATTGAAACCGATTGTTTTGCTACATTGAAAACATATTTGGGATAAGAACATTTTTATTTTAATATATTTGTATATATTCAAGGAAAATAAATAAGATGATGTTATCATCAAATACGCAACACAAAGAATACCTTTTGAAAGTCTTTGCTCTGAATGAATGAATGAAACAATATCACCTTCGTTTTATAGGACATCTTTTATAAAAAAAAAAACCTTCTAACTCTGATGCGACATATAATATATTTTTATTTTTCAAGGATCATGTTACGCAATAAAGTATATATCCTTCCATAAATGATTAAAAATACAATTTTCTTGATAATTTCATTCTATTTGTGAATGAAATATTCTTTGTGTACTAAATAGTATGACATGCATAGTTGATGAACTTTATATAATATATTCTAAAGGTTTTCATATGAATATGAACTTTAGATATCGAAAAGGATTTTGTTAATCCTATGAATTCAAAGCGAAAGAATTACGATGTTTCGTGAAACAAGTTTTTTTTGTTCAATACTATCGCACGTTGAGTATTGATTTAAATACATGCAAATAAATTTTGATTTTATAAATCTTGATTAATATTCGTATTTATATTTTTGAGATGATAAAATGAAAAATTTTTTATTCTATTTATTTAAAACATCTTTGAGAAAGTAATTATTAAACTAATTAAGAAAGCAAGTATTAATTTTAGAAGATTAATAGATATAGTACTTGTATTTGTCTTATCATTTTGTGCACTATTGACATCTGTGATGTAAGAGACTATCAATGATGACTGTACATGTGCAAATATTGTTCTTAGTGATGATAATGTTGTCATCTTTATTTGTGAAGTTAATGTTAGTTTGGCAGTGAGTTTGATTTTCAATACACTCATCATAATTGATTATATGATTGATTCTATTATCAAATTTTTCAGACATTGTAAGCACATCAAAACAAAATCTTGCAATTAAATACACCAAGATTTCGGAAAATATTAAAGAATCCATTACAATGCTGTAAAGAGAATAATATTGTTAATTAATTAATTAATTTTTGATGAAATTCGACTATTCCATCAAACATTGAATTAAACTGTTCATTCGTGACAATATTCAGATACATGTGAATAGAAGAATGTATTGTTGAAATATAATCAGGTGGACAATAATTGCTTATCCATTTTACTTATATAATATATGGCGTCTTTGCATGATCATAAATTTTTTGAAGGGGAGCTGGGCGACTGGAACCATATATATTCCTAATAAATTGGTTCCATTGAAGCCCATAGAAAAAATTCTGCTTCTGAATTCGTTCCTACACATTTGTCTTTCATTAATTGCAGCTAATATTCAATTATCGGCTTAATTGTTCTATCAATATATAATAGGCACGCATACGGGCATGAGTGTGGTTGTAAAGAAGAACAATCATCTCATCCAGTGCCATATTCTTCAATACTTGAATTTTATTTTAAAGAATATGTAGATAGTAATTTTATTGGTATGAAGCTTGCTATCAAGCGTGAAGAATGTGTGTCAATAAAACATACTAGTAAATAATCATTTTTTTTTCATGTTATGCTCTTGTATGCTGTCGTTCATATTTCTTTCAATAGAGTAATCAACAGATGATCATTTAATTAATAAATTATCTTATTAATATTTCTTAAGAAATTAGTTAGAGACAAACATGAGGGATGAATTCGAAATGTTTCTGATGGGACAATTATTTATCAATTAACCATGGTCCTAATTAGAGGCAACTCTTTCGAAGCCATTCTGGTTTCACATTTTATTTTCTTATGTGGTAATTTATCGATTATATAACTAGCTATGGTTGACACCAATTAGTAGATCGGCAGATTATGAGATGAATTTGTGATCATAGACTATGATAGAGAAGTAGATGTATTCGAGTGAACTTAACACTATGCAATTAGATTTGACAATGAAAGTAGTTTTAATTTGAAAACGATTCAATACAATAGAAGATCTTTCTTCATTAAATTCAATATTGACCGAATTTTGAGTAGAATCCAATTTTAATTTTCGTTCAATATATTCTTGAAAAGTTCGACTAGTCTGAATTCAAAGAAACACGATCATGAATTCAGTTAATCAATAATAATAAAAGTTTATATGATCCATTTTCATCGAGAAAATTAATATCGATACATACATATATGACAGCAATTCAATTGATTGTGATACTGACAACAACCGAACTGTCATTCTCTATTATTGATAGTAATCGTATACCACTTAAGTTAATGAAACATTCTACTATTGATAATGGTCATGACTAGACTAGACCAGAACAAAGCAAATATGAAGACGTTGTATGTGGTGATCTATTGAAAGATCTATCAAGCTACTATATTTATTTAATAAGTAGTTGTCTCTACATAGAAACGTGTTATTTTAACTGTTTATCTCTAAATTGATGAGAAAAACAGCTCATCTTGTAATTCAAACATATAACTCATTCATTTTCTGATTAGTTTTATAAACTATAAACTTTAATTATAGTTCAATCTACGTATATTCAGCTGTAGTATTTCTATCATTGTGGGCAAAAATGTTTCTTATATCAATATTTTAAAGAAATTTTATAGATTACAAAAAAAAATGTTACTATAAAGCAGAAAAAAACCTCATAAGTAGAATATATTAGTATAATAGATTATTGAATCTATTTTGTTTTATATTTATTATTCAATAAATTAATTAGAATACTTGATATATTTTATAAAATGATTTTATACGAATTAATAATTATAAGATTTATTGGTGACAGTCAGTAGAAGAATAATTCATTTCGGTTAATAAAATAAAGCACAATCAATTACAGTTATTTTGTTTTGAATAATCCTGTCATAATAATTTTTTTCAATAATATTTATAACATTCAAATAATGCTGAGCCAAAAATAAAAAGTACGACTGCAACATAAAGAAACTTTATTCGATCTTGATATGTCAATAAATAATAAGGCGTGGAACTTGATGTATACTTTGATGAAACGTATTTAGAAATGTCATATAAATCTTGTTGCAATGAATGTGATGTTTCAATCGCTAATATAGGTTTTATCATGCTCTAAGTATCGAAAAGTTTACTATAGAAATAATCAGATGACAATGATTGCCTTAGAGAATTACTCGAATACATTTTTACATTGATTTGACACAGGAGACGTTGTTTAAATTGATGTGTTTCCAACAGTGATAAAGATATTGAAAGCGTGTCATTTGTTGGCAGAGCTGCATTGCAAAACAAATAGTAAAAACAGCCAAACAAGAAACACTTGTAATAGTTAATATATACAGGGCGCGTAAAAATGTTTTTTCAGGAGGTAACGCTATAATTTCAAATGATATCTATAACAAATTTTATATCAATTTAAAGCGCGTCGAAAATGAGATTTATCAATGCTAAATAATAAAGGATATGGCAACTTTATAGTGCCAAATTCAGGACATTTCTAGAATTTTATGCCATATTGACATTGAAAAATTACTTTCATAACGTAGTTCAAACTAGATCTCGTTTAAAATGAGATATGTCACAAAGTATTATTTATCTCTTCAGATTTGGTGAATATAATCAATAATCAGTATGATGAGCATTAGTTTCCTTTACAGCATGAATATGAGACGGATACGAGCATGAAATAGTTTCAAATAACTCAATATTTATTTCCATGTTTCTCAAAACATCTGAAATATGTTTTTCAAAGTCTCTCCATCATAACGGTTGCGTTTCGTCTACGATAGCATTCTGTCTCAGTTTTATTTTTGGTTATTGTCCCAATATTTTCGGACCAGGTGTTGAGTATTGTGTGTTATTTCCCATTTTGAATGAGATCTAGTTTGAACTACGTTATGAAAGTATTTTTTCAATGTCAATATGATATAAAATTCTAGAAATTTCCTGAATTCGACACTATAAAGTTGCCATACCCTTTACTATTTAGCAGTGATAAATCTCATTTTTGACGCGCTTTAATTTGGTATAAAATTTGTTATAGATGCTATTTGAAATTATAGCGTTACTCCCTGGAAAAAACTTTTTTACGCACTCTGTAGAATATGCACATAAGTTTTTTAAAGAGAATTTACATATTGAAAAATATAAAAATGAAAATGGCTAAGTGGTAAGATATAGACCAGAAAACTGATGCTATATTTTGCAAATCGATACATTTAACAACAAAGCATTAAATGATGTAAAATTGAATATTCTCCAACTTTTCATTGATGAAGCAGTTTTTGTCGTCTTTTATTCTGTCGATATCTTGACAAATAGATCCGTGCTTAAATATAATCTGTAGATAATTTGATAACCACTTGAGATGTTGTATATTAATAATAATACTAATAAATACAAATCAGAAGAGATATTTACTTAATTCACATTATACATTGCAGAAAATAAACATGCAACTTTGTTTGCTAGTTTAATTTTTATCTTCTAAACTTGATTCGTTGTTCAAAGCAAATATGCTGTAAGATGCAGTGTATTTCACACTTTCTTTTAGCATAGAATAAGTAAAGAAATAAGTGAGGTATGTTAGTAAAAAAAAACAAAGAAGAAATGGAAGAAATTCAATTGGCTTCGATTGTATATTTATTTTACTCTGCGTTTTTCGCAAACGCATAAACTATGATGATAACCATTCGGAAGAATATCGTGATAAACAGTACCAGAACCATAATAGCAACTTGTGCCACGACGTCTCCAACCAGCTTGTGTAGCACCAAGACTATGTTCATCTGTTGAATTCGATTCACTTTAGAAGTTGTGAATTCATTATTTGATCAAAAATCACATGATAGATGAAGATCACTAAATAAAATTCTGTTCGTCTATTTTATCATTTCAAAAAAAAATGAAGACATAGTAAAGTAAGCAAAGATCACTTAGCATATGAATATTCCTAACCATAATTGTGTTCGTTTATTTTGTTACTGTTAAATCTGAATATAAATTTGTTCAATTGATCAACAATAGCATGAAAAATGAATAATAACAACACCAATAGTTTTA